CCCTCGGCTATCGCCTCGGGCAACTCTTACGCTTCTTTCGTGCTCTCCAAACTTCCCGCGTGCTCCATAACTCGATAGTGCACGCTAAAGCATGAACCAATTGTTAAGTTGCGTTCTCGGTGGGAACACTGTCACGTGAAAAATAAATAATTAAGTTGTGGGGAGTAAGAGTTCTGATGCAAAAGATGGATTTTTGTTCTAGAGTTTTGCAGCTTTCCGAACTACCTAGATGTGAGTAAAGGCCCAAGACTGCCATATGTTTCTAAAAATGACTTGGGAGATTAAAGTGAATTGCGATTGGTTTGAATGCGTCTTTGTCATTCCTTTCTTCGTGACAAAGGTGTTCACGGAATCGGTCGCCAAGTCGTTCTCCTGCTTCGTCGATGTATAACGTTTTGCAATTAGTACAGGGCATACAGAAGTTGACAATGGCGGAGTTACAGGTGAAATGATCGGTGATCTTTACTGATCAGGGATCGTTTGGGTCCTGATATTATCTCGGCAACGTTATGAATGATCATGAAAGGGGAAGTCAGTAATCGAACACGCGCGCATTCAAGCTTTCGGGCAAAATAATGTGCCTATTGTGTAAAAGGTAAAAGAGAACTGAGAAAATAAAATCTATCGAAAATAAAGGCAATTTCTCGACCTAAACCTGTAAATCTATATTTTGAAAATATACCGTGACCAATGAGCGTAAAAGGAAAATTGTCGTATGTCAGGACTGCCTGCTTCCACTTCCACGAAGACTTTCTTACTTTAAGGGCCTAACACTTGATTTAAAAAAATAATAATAGGAAAATCAGAAGAGTCATGAAGATGCTCTGTAAAAGGGTAGAAACGTTACATACTAAGAAAGATCAACCACCAAATCAAAATGGTTTAAAATAATTCGTGAATTGCTATCCGTTTACATTCCGATCGAATATTACAGGACTGAAAACTGACTGAAAACTTACCAAAGAGGCATTTTAAAAATTACCATTGCTGGCAATTATTTCTAGTTCTAGTATAAAGAGCCCTAGGATTGTCTCACCCTATATTAATTTCAAAACTCTCTGGAGTCAGAGCTCGAAACTACGGGTACAGAACATGGCTCAAAGTCCAAGCAGAACGTCCGCTAGCCGCTCATCATCTGTCTCTCTTTGTGATGCTGATAACCTTTACAAAAACATTCGATCCTTTTCAACAGAAGAAGAGAAGGCCCGATGGGTAGCTTTGTTTACAAACCAAGTTCTTTTGTTTTACAAATCCAGAGGATGAAAGAGCAGGGAAAATTGCTGGGAAGCCGCCGTGCACCCCACAAATGCGCGCCACGCTGCTGCGATCTGATTGGTCGACATTTGCCTGGCGCGGAACTCAAACTTGTTGCCCTGCACGTTGGTCTGCAGTTCACTGCGATCTTTTGTACGAACAGTAAGTCGGCTGGAAGCATGGCTTCTTTCTTCGGAAAACATATGATTTATCCTTCGAATTACGTTCCAAAATCCATGGCTGATCTCAGGAAATACGAGGGATTTTTGCCAAACATGAGTGGAGCAACTTATGATCCCATTTCTCTTCTGAACGAGGAGAAGAATCTCAGACGTGAACAGAGTGGTAGCTTTTCCTCGCACTCAACTCGTTCATCCCGCGATGATGACATCTTTTCGAACACTGCATTTGTGTCTTTGAGGTACGCTCTACACCTTCCTGAAGGGGAATTTTTCCGAGTTGGCCTGACAGAATCTTTTATGTTTTCGATAAGTCCAGTCATTTGTATATCAATACCTGAGTACAATTTGTCCTTTGGTGCCCGCGGAATTTCTTGTAAATTGTTTCTAACTTGTTTGTTTCTTCATTGAGAATAGATCTTTCAAGAATTTTTGCTGCCTCAGCTTTCTACGGGTAAAATGTAGAATACAGAAATCAGTAAAAGCAACAAATCAAGTGGAAATAGCTTTATTTTTTCAATGTGTGAGACCTTTTCATTTGCAAAGAGTGAGGCCAATTTAGAATAATTGTGACAATTTGCATTTCAAAGCAAAAAGCTGCAAAACGTAGCATTCTTTTCTTCTCATGACAATGAGTTTTAATTGCTCAACATGCAATAATTTTGATCAGGTGGGCAAGGTGAAAATCGTTCTCTTACGGATGTTTGTTCATTATCCCGTAAAAATTCCGGAAAACCATGAATATGAGATGTGTATTTGCTGTCATTTTGTAAATGTCTGTTGTCAATCAGTTTGATGCCAATCCTGAAATTTATCGTTAACAAAAGAGAAAGTAAGAAACGTCATATCAATTTGTAGTGACAAGTCTTAGAATATCCTACCAGCTTTATTTTTGACACGAATGTACTTGTATTGTACTTCTAGTAGCAGCGATGACAGCAATGAATCAAGCCAAACATCAAATGACGTATTCAACGAGAGCGGCAAAACAGTGTTATTGAAGACCCCGAAAAAGACCTTGGCAAAACGAGTGAGCCCAAGGAAACCTCTCAAACCGGTTAAAAGTGTAAATCCTTGTGATCCTAGCTTCAAAGGTGTCACTCTCCACATGAAAACGACGCTGAAGAAAGGAAAGAATGGTTTGAAAACTCGATCTGAGGCGCAGCTGGTGATCGATTGTTGCTTTACTTCCAAGAAGAGACGTCGCTGCTCAAATCTGGAGCTCGATATGCGCGAGTGCAAGACATCGAGAAGAAGGCTTAGTTCACCAGGGCTTAATCCTTCGATTTTCAAGCTGCAAAACTCCCCCGAGTCGATGTTTAGCGACCGAAGCCCGTCCGATGTGGACTTAGGAACAGCGCCGATTCAAGTGGAAAAGGAGTGCGCATCCTGTGGGACTTTCAAAACTCCTTTGTGGCGTGATGCGGAAGATGGCACTCACTTGTGCAATGCTTGTGGAATTAGGTACAAAAAGTACAGGATCCGTTGCGTCCGATGCTGGTATATTCCCAAGAAAGAGGAGAAAGCTTTACCGTGCTGCACTAGTTGCGGTCATACCTACAAAATTGCCCTGGGTCGCAAGGCAAATCTATTTAGCAGTAGTGAGTAACAATTTTCTCTTCCGGACTGGAAGTGTTTGGTTTTACTCGGATTACTGCGATGATTTTTGAGTATTTTACAGATCAGTCTATTTAGATGGAACGTTGAATTAGCTTAATCAGTGTTAACCGTCTGATTGTAGTTTATGCTAATCGTGAGTGGGATACTGTGCTTGCGTTTAAAACCCTCAAGTTGTTTCAAGATAGTCAAGGACCACGACAGTTAACATATCAAGGATCGAACACTATTTTACTGCGAACTGTTCAGTATTAGAAAATTGTAGACATCTGAAATTTTGACCAATTTTCTGCTGCTAAAATCAGGGTTAATAATTCTGTGTTACTGGTGTCAACTTTAGACTTAACTCGTATTACTGGACTTATTGTTATCAAGCAAGGTAATTTCGTTTTACACGTTTGTAGTTTTTACAAGGTGTCTACAATTTTATTCACTTTGTAATCATAATATTTCATAACTGGGTCCATTTTTCAGTTTTTGTCATTGTTAAGGTTCGTAGTAGTTAAAGGTTTTAGGAGAAAGATCTGCGGTTTTCATATGGGAAATGTCTTTATTAAGAATAGTCAGGTATATACAAGCTGGACATTCATGGAAGGAAATTAGATGGCACCACAGCCTAAATGTCTGAAAAAAAAAAGCAACTACGACGACAGCTACTTACAGTTGGTTCGTTACAGTCCTAGATCATAGTTCATAATTTTTAAACCTTTACTCTTCAGTGTTATTTTCAAATTTTGGAGGTACAGTGGAATCCCGATTTCTCGAACCCTCGGTTTCGCAATCCCCGATATCTCGAACCAAACCTTGTTTCCCTTGGATTTGCTACACTTATATTTTCACCCCCGATTTCTCGAACCAATTTGCGATTCCCCTGAAGGTTCGAGAAATCGGGATTCCACTGTAAATAATTGTACCCGCGACAGTCTGTAATTTAACGTTGTTTATCTAACTTGTGTTGTAAAAATATTTCGTTGTCAATTTACATTGGTACATGTGTGCAGCACTTTGAGTCACCTGGAATCTTTGTAACTGATGGTTTGTGATTTCGATTTTTGCTGGCTGCAACTTTTGTTTTTTGCAGCACTGTACAATGTGTATATAAAGGTATGTTCGTATAACTGGGGGTTTTGTGAAGCACTTTAACACACTTCCCTTGTACATAGCTCTTGGAAGTGTGTAGCCCTTATACTATTTGTTATTTATAAGATGTATCCATTAAAACTACAACGGCATTGCTAGATGCATCCATCTGCTATTTCCATTATCCCCTCTATCAACTTCTTAGAATTCTTGTACGAGAGTGCATTAACTTTACTCTAACGTAGATCCTCAGTAAACCGTTTCATCCGACCTTAAATAGAAAACTACTCTTTAGCTGAGTCGGCGTAACTTACGATCAGGCGTTTCCTTCCAAAATGAGGAGGGCTTGATCGCTGATTAGCGTTAATGTCGCATGTAAGGTCCACGTGTTGTGTTTCTACTTCAGTCTCCGGAAAGCACGCCAATCTTTCTCAATACATTCGACCGCAGTCGATTGAGCATGAAAATTTCAAGAGACACGTACTGCTGTCTACCAGGAAGGTTGTTACTTTGAATATTTTAAATCCTGTATTAGGTGAGCTTCAGCGAGTATTTGCCCTAATACCCCGCAAAACTAAAGAATAATCAATAAACAATAATTTTATCAATTTCTATAGCGCATTTACCATGTAATGATTTAATGCGCTTTACAATACTGTGCGGGAGACTTTTCCAGACTGCCAGTGGCAGTTAACAATCAACAAAGGAGAAATTTTACAGATCATCGGCCCCCCTCTCCCAATTCCCAGTAAACAGGCCAGACCACCTCACAGTAATCTCGTGATGTGGGTTCTTTAAAGTCCCCCGCCTAACCAAATTAACTCTGAATTTACAGATGCAAGAGACAATGTCCGGTTTGCCGCGGTCATCGTGTTTACTCAAACCTTTTTAGCCCCCGGCCCAGCGTTTCTATCAAAATCCTATTTCTAACATCACCAACAGCAATTAAGGTTATTCTTTTGTAAGTATTTTGTAAGATACGCGTCTTAAGTTACAATGTCTCGCTGTTTCGCCGTGATAGTTGAAAAGTAATGCAGTGATGACACCAACGATTCCTTTCTTTCAATTTTCGAGTATAAACGTAGCATTCTTTTGATTGGGTATGGCGTTCATTCAAGGGGGGCGTTTATTCGAGTGGATGCAAATGATAAGTTATCAACCGTTAACAACTTGCGAAGTCCGATTAGTCAGATAGCACATTCATTTCCTCAGCCTATTCACTGGCGGCGAACCCTGAGGAAACAAGGTCAAGGTTGCCAAAGGTCAGGGAAAAATAAAAGGTTCAAAGTCGGGGAAAAGTCATGGAATTTCACTGTGAGTCAGGGAAAATAAACGTCTTGGATAGAAGTTAGGGGAAGTAAAATCTCGATACAGTCTTTACCTCAATTGTTCCTTCATCAAGGAAGATGTCAACTCTTTTTTAACAACTGTTCACCGAAGTGGTGTTGACCGGGCTGGTGGTATATCAATTGAGCCACGAAGCTAAACTAAAAAAAATAAGGATAACATAGTACAAAAATATGATTGTAATATTTTTGGGCGCTAGTCAGCCTGACTCGGTGTGCTTCTCTAATGCTATCCATTGTTTTGGTATGATTTTAAAAATAAATTTTTGCGATGCCTGTTGCTTACTACGTGCTTGGTACAGTAGATAGAAACCTGTCATGTAAGCTCAAGGTGGTTTGTGAAAGAAATTATTCGCTTTCTTTTCCATCTATATCGTTGGTTTTTAACACTTCAAATGCTCAGTTTGGTACATTTCACGGTCATAAAACCTGTTTGGTTCTGATGTGGAGTTTCAAGAAAAACATTTTCCACGTTTACAAAGTATCTACAAGTGAACTTCTAAAAGTATAAGCGGGTGGAGAGGATGGCTGCGAGTGGAGATTGAAGGCCACTGTCGAGACTCATATTTGAAATATTTGATTCAGTTGGTCAGGGAACCTTTACATTTTTCAGAGAAAGGTCAGGTGTAATTTCAAAAACCTAGAGCTGTGGCAACCGAGAAAATAAAAACGTGTGAGGCAAAAGCAAGAGTGTGCAATGATCAGCCATCCATCTGTGAAAGGAAAATCCTTAAGATGATCTCAAGCCCCGTTTTGCATTCATCAGGGTTCCTCTGTGCGAGTTCTCATAATCCAGCTTATTTTTGCCTCCTTACAGATTTACCTAGAATTTGGTCGAGGTGTCCGACTGGTTAATTTCGAATGTATTCAGTTTAATAATCAGAATGACAAATAATTCTAGAAGTTCTCTGGTAGCACAATTTAATTCATCTTTGTTTCAAATTTTACAGAGAGAATTGCTCTGATATGAAATAAATACATGTATAATAATAAACAGTGTAAAAGTTAAATTCGATTTACCAAGCAAGTTACATGTAACAAAAAAGGCGCAGTTCTTCGCCAACTAAACTGCTGAAACTTTTTCACATTCTCGAGTGGATTCCTCCGAACACAACCCTTCCTTTCCCGATTGACCATACATTCAATTATTTTTTAACAAAATTTTTCCACGTTATGGTCAACCAGCCAGCAACAAGAATAAAGCATTCATTGCATGGCCAGTGATTGAAGCATGGTGTTCGTAATGGGCCAATTTCGAGGGCTTGTGTAGTTCCCTGGCCGGGATGAGTCTGCGGAGCCTGGTAACGCAGCAAGTTCGTGTGCTTCTGGGTCCATGTTCAACGGATGAGGGAAGGCTGGTTTCCTTGTGCCGATCACAGATAGAAGTTGTAGTTCCATTGGTCCAAGTCGCGGAGAGTCCTGAATTGTAAATTATTTTAAATCTTTGCGTTTCTTCTCCATAAATATTTCCTTTTGGTTTACATTTACCTCTTTAGTGTTGGCAACATTAGTTAACCGATACATAGGTTTGTTTTTGATATATAGGTTTAATTCCAATCAACCAACTTTTCAAAGACCCAGAAAAACAGGAAAAGAAGTTATCGTGAACTAGCCACTCTTAAGGATCGGATCCTTTTTCGTTCCTAATTATTCTGGCTCGTACCTTTCCGGGATTTTAGTTGTTTATTGGTACCTTATCTTTTCAATTTAATATTTCACTAAACCACATTAAATGTATCATACTACTTAGGGAATTATGTCAAAATATTGCTTTTGAAAAATTCTTTTCAAAATCGCTTACCTGAAAATCATCCTCACCGGGGAAGAAATAGTTATCGAGCAGATCATCCGGTTTCTCATCTTGTTCTCCAAGGACACCATGCAAAGCAATCACCTCTTCTCCGTCATCTTCAACATCGTCTTCCTCCGAACTGTCTTCATCCTCTACACAACTTAAATAGAACTGCCTAAAAAGATATGTTCCCCAGGTTACGAACATGATCGTTATTCCTTTTAAAAGAGGGCTTACCACCACAATTTGCAAGAAGGCAGAAAGTGATTCAAAGGACAGAGATGAATAAATAAGTAACTAAACAAATAAACATGTTTTACAAATAAATACATAAACAACAACAAAAAAAACACAATATTAATAATGAAATGAAAAAGAACTGTATGACCTTTGAATAGCCGTTTGAGTTGTGGTTTTGGGATCATGAAACATTTTATTCTTCCTTTACAATCCGTTTCAATGTTAATTGTCTTCTATCCTTAGTCATCGTTCTTTCCTTATAACCCCAGCCCTGATATCCTATCTTATAGTCCTGTTTGACCACCGCACTGTTTTTTTTTTATGAATCAAACTGAAGCACAGTCACATACATACAAACTTTATTGGAACTCCCTTCAACAGGGCTTTTCAGTGACAATAAACTAACTAAACTTATTAACAATAACAATTTAAACTAAAATTATTTCTTATAAAACATATTTTCAAAAAGAGTCTAACTATATCAATTTCTTTCACATTTTTAATATTCTCAGCTAGCCCACTCCATTCCCTTGGACCTTGGTAATAAAATCCCCTTTGTCCCGTTGACAGTCTACATCGGGGAACCACAAAACTATTACATCCCTTGTATTCCTATTGTGGACTGTTTAACAAAATATTTAACTAAATAATCTGGAGCTAGACCATTTACACATTTAAATGCTAACACCAAGTCATTAAATAAAACTTTCTCTGTAACATCTAACCATCTAAGAGATCTCCGACCCTGAGAGATATGGTCAAACTTCCTTAACCCTAATACAACTCTGGCTGTAAAATTCTGCACCAACTGTAGTTTGTGTAGATTATGTTTAGATGTGTTCCCCCACACTGAGGAACAATATAAAACAAATTTTACCGAAAACAAAGCCATTTAAAAGCAATGAAAGTGTTTTGTCAAAGAGATGTTTAATTCTTATGATGTGTACTAACTGGTTCATGCAATTAGAGGCTGTCTTAATCACTGATCAGCCAACTCTGCACCTGAGGGAAACTTATATCAAATGGCAATCACTTTCTTCAGGACAACAAGCACACAAGAAAAAGACTAACCGTGTGAACTTGAGGTCTTCAACCTTACAGTCAAACATCTCACTCATGATTTCCAAGTTTCTTTTTTCCAGGTCCTCTACTTTTGCTGACAAGTCAGCATGGCCTTGGCGATGAATAGCAACCTAAAAAAATTGTTATGGAGGTTCAAATTCATTTTTCACACCAACTGAAAGTGAGTATAGTTAATCCAGTAACAAGTCAGCATCCCATAGGTCTAGCATGTCTACTAGGTGACTGTATGCCTTAAAGGGGAACTGAACCCTAAAAATGAACCAATTTTAAATTGCAGCTTATAGTCGACAAATAGCAATGTTCGAGGGTTTTTTTCAGTCTTTGGGCCCAACTTCACCTTGGAAAAATATTTCAAAGTGGTATTTTGGCCTCGTAGTACAGCGGCTCAGAAAAGTGATGTCAGCGGTCATTTTAGCTCGCTCTTACGTCACTGGTGAGGAAGAAAGATAATAAACCCATACTCTTCCTACAGAAATTTGGTTTGGTTATGGAGTTATCAAAATTGCGTGACCTGTAATGAGGATTAACTACAAAAATGAAACAGTAACAGTTGTTTTTCTTAAGTTGGTTCCCCACCACTGACGTCATAAACGACCGCTGCTGACCTATTTTGAGCTGACGGTCTTACAGCCCCAAAAGCGGGAAAAAGGTAACTTCAAATTGAATTTTCTTGTAAAAAACAAGAAGTGAAAAATTGAGTTTCCAGATGGGATTTGAACCCACGACCCTCCGTGATCTAGTCGGATGCTCTAACCACTGAGCTACAGGAGACTCTATGGTGAGCAAGGGTCAATTAGACTAGATCACAGAGGGTCGTGGGTTCAAATCCCATCTGGAAACTTGATTTTTCTCTCGTATTAAAAATTGTTTATTTCATCAAAACAAGAAGTGAACGAAAATGAATATCGACACTTTATCTTACTCCTCTAAAGCTAACTAGAAATGAATGCAAACAATATATCAATTTTAGGCTTCAGTTCCCCTTTAAAATCTGTAGTTCACATCCTGTTGTGTTGGATGAACTACCTTTTAACTTTTGAAGAGGAAATCATTTTACAAAAATGGATATCAGTAAAGTCTTCAAGAAGACTTCCCTCCAAATATCTAAGACCTCATGAAGAGGAAAGCTGGATGAAGACACATTCAAGTAAAATCTGAGAGCTCAGGCTCATTGTTATGCTACATTCATGACACTACACCTCTTTCTTGAGCCATCTGTGGTCCAAAATTTCCCCACAGCTATCCTTGTCCAGTTTATTTGTTGCTTTCTAGAAAGAATGTATAATTCTTGTTTCCAAGGAAAGTCTTATTCAACCCTTAAACTCCTAAGAGTGATTAGCATCTAATTTCTCCTTACAATATCAAACATTAAGGCCAAGAAAGTAAAGGAAATGATCACCAACTAAAGACCTTCTTGATTGTTAAACAAATTCTCCCTGTTAGCACCTTAAGATATGTGTAGATGACAGTATGGAGAATATGCATTTTGAAGTTAGGAGGTCAAGGGTAAATATAAAAGAGAATGGGGATGAAGTAATTTTCAGCAGAAAACATGAATTTCTCGTAAAAAACAGTATGCCTTATGACAGAAAAATTACTGTAAATGAGTCTGGATTTCAAAACAGTATAGAAATTTAAAATTTAAAATGTCATCAGTGACCTATACCTCATTTGCTATATCCTTCTGTTTTGAGATTGTTGATTCAGTGTAAGTTTCAATTTCATCTTTGGCTATCTTTAAGCTTCTTTCTAGATGAGCTATTATCAAAGAAAAATAAAAATTCATAACTATGACCCAACCAGAGGGAAAAAATGCAAAAATCTTCTAGGAAAAACTTTTTACACACTTCCATAAAATTAAACTGGCAATTTTGAAATCAACTCAAACTTGCAGATAAAAGTAAGTATCAAATTTCCTCTATTAATCCGCCTTTAATTTCCTTTATTAATTTTCCTTTATTAATAAACACTGATGCTAAAAGGCAACTGAAATATCCCCCTTAAAAAAGCAATATTGCCGGTAAGGAGGAAAAGAGTATTGTAGTTAATACAGTATATCAATTGGAAAGTAACTCCAATAAGCATTCAGTGGGGTGGGTTTAAAGGCTTAGTAATTTTATGGGACTTCTTCAAGGGAATAGTGAGAAATTAATTTAAAAAGCTTACTTTCTATTATTATCATAATTAAATTATAATCATTCTAACTACAGTTACAATGAAAAAGTTACATTCTATTAGTAATAAATAAATATCATTAATAAAAGTACATTTCTTATATTCTGATTACTTTACCAGCAATATCATCTTGAGAATCCTGCATTTCTTTCAGGTCTTGTTTCAGTAGCACTATTTGTTTTGCATGTTCCTCTGCACCTATGTCCTGTGTAACACACAAACACAAAAAACTAAGCATAGAAGAGCTTTCATGATCACAAACTCAGCCAAATGTTTTTCATTTACCAGCAATACATGTATATGAACTCTCACTAATTAAAGATTATTCCATGATCAAATGTTGGATATGAGATGATATTAAATAGCTATAGCCAACAAGGCATGTACCTGAGTTGGCTATAACCAATCTTGTATCCAACAAGTGTAAATGGAACAATTGTTTTATTAAATTATCCGCCTTTCATTAAAGCTTTGGGAGCTTCGTGAATTTGTTTTAACTCCAAAATTGAGAGACTAGTAGGTGAATTAGTTTCCATAAACTAAGGTGATCTGGTAAAGGAGCTGATACCCAGAGATTAGTGAACCAATCAGAACACTAGAAATGCAATATCCAGGGTTAAAAAAGTATCTAAATAAAAACAAATTGAAAATGGAAACATGATACAACTTTTAAATATCATATTAAAACTTTGATACACATAATTATGTAGTGCACACCCTGTATTCCTGGAGCCTTCTTATGTTCCTAAGCACTTCTTTTATTTCAGCCTCTTTCTTTTCTATGTGATCATTTTGTGCTAAAGAATGGAGAATAAACCATAAAAGGATTCAAGTTTGCCTGATATGTATTTACACATATATTTGGAGTGTTACAAATTTAAGATTTATGCTAAACACATTTCAGTGAGCATTATAAGAAAGGTGTAGTAAATGGTCATTCTGGAGAAGCATATTGGAAATAATAAGCATGTGAATCACCCAGACAGACCAAATAAGCCAAAATTCTTAAAACCACCCAGTCACACTTACTTCAAAGTTTCTGAACCATAAGATAAACATTACATATATCTTATTAACCAAGCGCAAGGGCCGTACTGGGAGAATATCGGCCTGAGGTCTTGACAGTACGGACCGAGCGCAGCTCGGTCCGTACAAAAAAGACCGAGGGCCGATATTCTTCCAGTATGGTCCCGAGCAAGCTTGGTTAATAAGAGATTTATTATATGACTGAAGTTCAAAGGGACACAAGTGCGGTATCATTCGGGACAGTGCCCGGTCCAATACTTAGAGAATATTGGACCGGCAATAGAGCGTTTTGATTGGTTGATTTTAGTTATTGGCCCTCTGACTGCCCGAGTAGTGTAATAATATTCATTACAGGCAGAACATAATTATACCTTGAACTTCTGCTTCTTCAGCCTTCAATAAGTCAAATTTCTCCAGTAAAGCAACCTCAACTTGTTCATGTCCAACCTCTGCTGCATTCTCTACTTCCTTGTCTTTTTCTTTCACTTGTTTTAATAGAGTTTTAATATGCTGCAGTTGCTCCTCCTTAAGTTGTTGGTTCTTAAATAAACAAACTCTTGTTGTATACACATTTTCAAGGCTGCTACAATCAATTTTTTAACAGACTTATCTAATCACAGTAGGAAATGTTAAGACCAAAAATGTGAAACGTAGAATTGATGTACCATAAATTCTTTAAGTCTTAGTGTACACTACCCACTAGCAGGAACATTTTCATTAGCAAGTTTTTTGTACCCCAATTAAAAAGTTATTACTTAACTGAATGGGTAGGAGACATAGTGCCTTTAAGATTAGTGCAATGGATCCCAGGACTCAGTTGCTTGCAGGCTGATCAGTGCTAACACAAGGTTCAATTTTCTGTGTTACTTAATTTCTTTGTGAAAAAGCCTTTTCAAGAATATTTTCTCTATTATTTTTAGAGCAAAAAGGGATATACCGATTTTTTGTAAAAGCTTTCAGATCTGAAATCAGATTTCACACTAAGACTGGGTTATCTAGTCCCAGCTTTGAACAACCTGGCCAAGTCAAGAGGTCTACATTTAAGACCTGGCTGGGCCATTTCCACCTAGGACTGGGACTGAGGAGTATTAGTGGGTATAAGCGAACTGTCAAGGAAGCCTGATGAAATACTAAGGGGTGGGGGGGGGGTGTAACCTGCAGTAGACTAGCATCCCATCCAGGAGGGAGTATTCTGGTTGCTTCATGCTATGTTAGGATAAGCTCAGTCTGGATGGGCCACTAGGCTTAAGTTGGATGTTGAAAGGCAAGTGTGAGGGTAAAGCCTCTAGCTTGGGAACACAACATGATGATTTGCCATAGTCTTGAACCATGACCTCTCCACAATTAGTCCACCAGCCTAGCTGCAAGGTCACTATGTCTCCAGAGGTGGATCTCGGGGAGGGGGCCCAGGTTCCCCCTATTTTGGGTGAAAAAAAAAATCACAAAAGGAAGAAAAGACGGCAGGTGTACACACACAAAAAAACAGCCCCCCCCCTCGCCCCTCAGCTCAAGGTCTGGATCCACCACTGCTATCTTTAGATACAAAAGAAAACTTCATCCCTTACCCTGTCCTTTAGTCTTTCATTCTTTTCCTTGAGTGATTGTAAATTGTACATTAGGTCTTCAAAATTCCTCTGTTTTACTTCTATTCTGAAATTTTAATCAGGATCGAACCAACAGCAAAGTGTTTGCTTTGACACATCGTGCAAATATTAAGCATGTTCTAAAAAATTAATCATCCAGTAATAATAAAGTTGACCCTATGTATAGCCCAGCAAAGTCGAATTACTTTGACGTATCGACTAAATATTTGGCATTTTATAAAAATGCTAATATAAATTTGATCCATTAACTACCATTGACGAATGTTAGCTCGGGCTTATGCTGCAGTAATTGAGTTTGTTTTGAAAATAAATTAAACATTAAACAGCTGTTTGGCTCGTTGCTTAGCACTGCTCAGCTATTTGTTCAAAGGACAAATCGATTTATTTCGGATGAAAAAATTTTTGGAAACACATTCACTGAAAATGCACTAGAAATCAACACTAGAAACAAATTCCAAGTAAAATATAAAGTGGTCTCTTCCATGAATCTAAGAAAACTCACTGAAAAGCAATGATCGCTTCCTCCACTGTCAACTTTGGTTCCTTCGACGCACTGCTTTTCTTGCCCTTCTTTTTCTTCCCAGATGATTTCTTTTTGCCGGATTTCTTCTTAGGAGGCATGCTTAAATGTTCAGTATCAATAGAAAGGCTAAAAAGTACTTATTCATTTGGTGAAATGAGCCTTTCTATTTCACCTGAAAAAACCACCTTCAGTTACCGGGCCAGCAAATTAACAACATTGATCTGAAAGCGGTTGGGGAGACTGGCTCTAATTGATCCGAAAAGGCCACTGGGAAGAGCCAGTTGTGCGGACATCTTGGTCTGTGATCGCGAGGAGATGATGGCGGCTACTAGTGAAACTGGAGATAGACTTGATACTCGAAGGCTTGAAGCTAAGAAACAAACCTTGGATGATGCTTATGCTGCTCCAGCGAATTTTCTAGAGATCGATGTTGTCAATCCTGAGACACATGGGGTCGGTAAAAAACGGTACACTGACTATGAAGTGCGAATGAGGGTTGGTACAAGTTCTTTCCTTAGTCTTAATGAAATGCAGTGTAACGGAATTTATACGGTTTCTAATTTGTTAAGATTAGTGTTAAGCTAACGTAATTCGATCTTATTCATTCGTATGAGTTGACGATGTGTTGTATTGTTCTTCACATGCAATCAACCAAAGAGTTGATATTATTCAAACAACAGGGAACTATATATGAGTGGGTTTAATTCGATTTGTCGACGTTTGACAGCTACTACTGAAGTTTTGAAAGACATAAAGATTTTAGGATCGCAGAATATGACAGTGATTGCTCTGCTCTGGAAATTTTCATCCTGATTTATGAGAAACTATTGCATGGTTTTAGTGTTGTCATGAAGCATTTTATTGTCTAAGTGAGACTGAATCATGTTTTGGCATTTTCCAGAAGTTTGGAAACTACGGGGCTTAAAGCAACTCATGTCTGATTCGCAGGGCAAAAATTGTCATTCAGGCTGGTGATGCAGTTCTATTTTAGCTATGAAAATCTCTTCATCAGTTTATATTAAAAAGATCCCTTCTTACAATGATCAAAGTTCTGAGCATCTTAACAGAAACAAATCGTGACCATCCATATTGATCACCTTACAAACCTAATCACTGTAACAATTTTACAGACTGTACCTATTTGGGGAAGCTAATTTAGTTTCCATTCACTATCAGATTTTAACTAATTTTCAGGATAGTGAATTATGAAACTGAAATGATACCACTTGTATTTGAAAGAGTTATTTTCAAACCCTTGTTATATACTGCAATCAACCTTTTTTTTTGGTAAGACTTTATTCATCAGATGCTAAGACAACTCCTTGCAAGCCAAGATATGTATTCTGTTGTTTGAGACACAAGGAAAGGTGACATATTTTGTTTTGCTTTATAACAGACAAATCTCCCAGTTTTTAAGGTCAAAGAGTCATCTGTAAGGAGACGGTACAGTGATTTCAAATGGCTAAGAGGGGAGTTAGAACGTGACAGCAAGGTAATGATGAACTGAGTTAACCTTTTTTATTGGAAGTCATAAAACCAAAGTCAAGGCACTTGTATATATAATCATAACTCTGTATATTTACTCTGATGAGTGATCAAGACAGAATTTCTCCTTATAATCTCAATACAGAATCAAGCAGACAATTGATGAGAATAAATAAAAAGTATCAATTAGGGGATTATCAGTAGATCCAATACCAAATTCTCCAAACCAACATTGTGAGAATTGTATTGAAGACTGTATTGATAACTAGTAATTACTTGGGAGTGAATAGGGAGAATGGCCAATCAGAACCAAAGGTCAACATCACAGAGAACCTATTGTAATTCATTTCAATTGTGCATGTTACGTGCTAAAAGGGTGAGATAAATTGTCTTGACCAATCATAGAGAAAAGTGAAGCAAAATAAGAGCAATAGACATTACATGTTTTGTCTGTTAACTGCTTACCAAAGATCAACTGAAATCCTCAGGAGCTCTGATGCTTTCTCTGTATGGAAATTGAGGGTCCATTGCACCATTTTTACCAGATATATGGAGACCCTGCTGCTCAAAGTTAATACCTCAAGATGACTAATAATGGTAATTAAACTGAGTGAAGTGCAATTTGGGCTGAAATCATACACAGGATTTCAAAATCGAACGAGTGCACAGCACAAGTTCAATTTGAAATCACAGGTATGATTTCAGACCAAAACTGCACGACATGAGGTTCAATTACCACTTTATTACATCCATTTTGAAATCGCCTAATACAGGACTTGGTCAATTCAAATATTTGATTGATACAGTACTGAGCTGGTTTTTAAATAAAAAGCAGAACCAGAAACGCTTTTACATCTTATTTTGTATGCAAAATGACATCATGTGTCAAAACTCAGTCAAGGGTAAAATGATGCAATTTAGAGGAAAAAATGGTGCTATTCGTGAATAAATCGAACCAATTAGAGCCAATCAGATTACAGGGACCACCAGGGATTCAAAATGGATGTAATAAAGATTTAAATGATTTTGTCTCTGAAAATGATATGAGCTCCATTTACTTGAGGTTCTTTGTGTGAACCATGTGGAATATTTTGCTTGTTGATCCATTTTTCATCGTCAGTTGCTATTTCAGACAAGGGATGAAAGTAATACCTCCATTTTTGTCTCTGTTGTCTTCCCAGATAGTGGTACCTCCTCTTCCAGGTGATGCATTCAAGAAGCAATTACCATTCAGAGGGGATGATGGTAAGAGGCCACTCTTATCCTTCCTGAACATCTAGTGTTACTATACTCCATACATAAAATTGTATCAGTGCTATAGCTAAGAATTAGGCTGCAGGCTGAAATTTCAAGTGAGGCAGTTCAAAGAAAGCGTTCTATATCAAAGAATTGTAAGTGTGTAACCCCAAAGTGCCTGTTGTGCTTTACTAAGAGATTGTCGGGGAAAAATTCAGCCAGCAATCTCAGTTTTTTTCATTCGGCAAATTTTCCCAGCAGCCAGCACTTAGTGACAACCTTGTAGTATGCTTTTTGTTTTTAGGATAGATGAATAAAGTTGAAATGGTAAATTGACCACCGTTATGATTACAAAAGCTAATGTTTCGAGCCTTAGCCCTTTGTCAGAGCGAATAGAGGAATTGTGGGTTGTGTGTGCTTTTAAAGGCAGAAAATGGAACTATGTCATTGGTGGGAACAGGGCAACAAGAAAAACACGAATAAATTAGTGGAATGAAAAGTGTTCGTTGATACCTGTGGGATTTAGACTGCCAGTTTGAAAGATGAGCTTATGTTCAAGAGTTTTACAGCTTTCGGTGCTACCTAAGTGTAAGGAAAGACTGCAGATTGTTCTTAGTCTGCTTCCATCAACTTTTACCTCCAGTTGCTTTGACCATCCACTGAAACCCAAACTAAATCTATTTCTCCAGGATTTCCAGTGTTTGCTTAATGCAATTTTTACTCTTTGTACATTGACAGGGGGTTTCATTAATGGCCAGGGACCAGGCAAATTGACTGGTTATTGTTAACTACTCGGTTCTGCAAAAAGTTTTTTATTCATACAAACAGTAATCAAAGTAATAATCCTATGTAGAACTAAACTCACGAGTTTATATACTTGGTAGCATTTTGCATATATTACAGTTGGGACAATTTATATTGTGACAAGACATGAATGGCAGCGGATGAATAGGACTAATGATAGCTCAAATGAATTGCTGATTATGCAACAGTTATGAGGACAGTTTTGCTTGCCTGGTTGGACAATCTGGAGGAAAGTTTATTTGATAAAGAAGTTCAGTTCAAAAAGTTTTGACTGCTTGTGAAAATCAGTTGCCCTCCTGCTGAAAACATTAATGAAACCCCTGCATTGAACCACTGGTTAATCAAATTTGAGTGGGAAGTTCCATCAGATTTGTTTTAACCATTTTGAATATTTAGAATTTTCTAATGTTAGTCAGTAGATGACAGGGCTCGAAATTGTACCTGTATCAGGTGCATTTGTGAATAAGGATTTTGCTTCTGCGACTAAAATTTCTCCATTGGTGTGATTTTGTGACCATTTTACAGCCTAGCTTATAAATAAATCATATTTAACAGCCTTGTGTCTTACTTCTTACTGGTTGCTATAGTTTTATTTGAAAAATCCTGCAAAATTCAAGTTAAATGTTGTGCGACTTTTATCATTGATTTCTTGCTGAAAAATGTAGTGTAGATGCACTTTTTCAGAAACTCATTTCATGCAACACTCATGAAATTTCTAGGAAATCTTCGTTTCTAATCTCCGATATTTTGTTTGGGTTGGTTAACTGTACTTTTGCTACTAAAATTTTCAAAGTTGTGACGAAATTTTTTGGAATTACTCACAAATTGCGATCAAGAATTTTTTTTATTTCGAGCCCTGGATGATGAGTGAAAGTGAACAGTTTTGCAGCATAAAACACTGTGAGAGGTTCTTCTTTGTTTTTTTGCTGTTGAACTCTAAATAAAAAAGTACCAATTTTACTTGACTTGTCTGTATTTTGGTTACATTTGATCAAACTGGGCATGTCATGATTAGTGGAAATAAATTGGTTGAGGAATTAATATTATCAGGAAGAAAAGGCTACATTGATACCTGACCAATTTGGGTCAACTATTTCCTTATTTGGGTGTTTTGTAAGAGCTCTATTCCCTTTTCTTTCAGGAATTTTTGAAGATGATTTTATTGAAGAAAGAAGGCAAGGTTTGGAGGCATTTGTGAACAGGTATGGAACATGTTCTTGGTAATGCCTGTTAATTTCTACTATGATGCCATAAGAAGTAAAGAACAATTTGTGGACTCTGAAATAAGTTTGCATTGAAAATAACCCATCTGGAGAGGTGTGTTTGACACTTGTGAGGCAAGCTGTGATGTTTGTTTAAAGAACGGTGTCTGGTATAGAATTAAACATGGATAAACATTATCATAAAATCTAAAGGGTTCCTTCATTTTCTTTTATGAAAACTTGCCTCTTTTTTCAGTGTGTCTGAGTATTTACCCTCTGATTCCCAAGATTGTCTGGTGTCTTATTTCTCCTTAAAACATCACCCCTGAATCACACATTTAGGTCAAAAGAACAACGGAAATGATCACCAACTAAAGTTTGAAGCTCAGGATTGTTAAACAAATTCTCCTCCAGTTTGTCTTGAAACTTTGCACAAAGTGTTCTTTCCTAGGGTTTGTTCGTGAAGACTAAAATTGTATTCCTTGGGATTTAAGTGCCCCTGAAATCAAAATTCTCATACATCATCTTTTTTCATTTTGGTGTTCAGTATGTCTCCTTCGCCTACCTTGCCAAATTTCAATCTAGTCCAAGCACCAAAAGTATCTTTTTTGGGCCATTAAATTTGCAATTTCCCGTCTGCCATTATTTGACCATGTTCCAGAAGTTGATCACAGGGTCAGGTATAGTGTGCCATTAATGGCCAAGTACAGCATGCTATAATTGGCTAAGTATAGTAGGCCATCATTGGCCCACTATAACAAACCATTGTTGGCCAAGTTTAATGGGCCATTATTGGCCAAGTATAGTAGGCCATCATGGGCCAAATATAGTAGGCCATCACTGGCAAAGCAGAGTGGGTCATTATTGGCCTAGTATAGTTTCATATCAAACCAAATGCCACCAGTTCAGTCTTCCATTGCCTGGGCTTGGCTGGAACATGTTTTCAGCAATGGCAGGTGATTTTTTTTTTACAACTTTGAAGCGGTAAAAATCGGTCATCAAAGGTTTGTTTGAGTTTTTAATGGAAAAAGGGTTTAACTTGATCCAGTTCAATATTCTGTAAACAAATTAGCCCAAAATATAACGGACAATTTTTGTCTCAAGGGCACTTAAAATTTAAAGGAATTTAAGAAAGAAAGTACATTATTTTTAACTTTGTTCAGTGGCATTAAGTTTTCTGTGTCTAGTTGTTGAATAATTATGTCTTGTTTAAATTTCTAGGGTGTCTGGACATCCTCTGGCCCAGAATGAACGTTGTCTGCACATGTTCCTAACAGAACCCATTATAGATAAGAATTATGTCCCAGGAAAAGTTAGAACCACATAAAACCATATGGAATATTGATTAGGAATGACAACATTGTATAATTATTCTTCGAGGTTAAACAATCAAACATCACTGAAAGGTGCTTTTATCCTTCTAGCCATCACAATGTTTAGCTGCTCCACTAGCATCTTTTGAATGGTGTAGTACAAAGTTAGTTGTTCAGTGAAAGAAATTACAAAAATGTGATCATTAGTGATTTATGACAAAATTGTATATTGGATATCAGAGCAAAACATTTTTCTTGATGGCTTAAGAACTAAAGGTTTGCTATATATTTTTGGAGTTATTCAAGATTAAATGGTGTACTGTACTTAATTGCAAATGATTTGGGCATTTCAAAGTATAAATGAAATGAGAATGCATTTATAGAAAGTAGCAGGAAACAAGGTTGAGGTTCTGAAGATTACACAATCTTCCATTTTTGATACGTTCAAAGCCTCTGTCATAAGACTTTGATATGAAATTGATTTTTAATGAGTGAAACTTGTTTTCCAAGGATGGTTTTGCACCCAGCTTCATCTTGAAAGAGACGGTTTTTGGAACTCAGAAATGCCCTCTCTCTAATGAATACTCCATAGTTGATCTTAATAGTAGTAGTGAGGTGTTATTAGGTCAGGCATTATTCCAACTGATCATCATGCATTGTAGGATGACATGCTGATGCTTAACACCAATCAACCAAATGGTGACTTACTAGTAGTCATCATTATTGCCATGATATTACAATTTTTTTTTCTTTATGGATTGAAGAAATATCATTAGTACACTAATGTGAGGGTATGTGGTGGACAATTTTGATTTATCTGTTTGTGCTATGGCTTTACCAATGCTTGTGCCGAAATACCCCTGTTGCTGTCATTGTTATCATAATATTACTTTTTTTTTTCTTAAATATTGAAGAAATGTTATTAGTCCACTAATGTGAGGGTGTGTGGTGGGAATATTTGATTAATTTGTTACTGCTAGAGCTTTACCAATGCTTGTGCAGGATTACCTCTGTCACCATAACTCTAAGACTGAAATGAAAATGCTTTGCTTTGCTTGAGATGATTATATGAAGCAAACTAGAATATTTCATATCTAAAATGTATTTGCACACTTTTTAAAATAGGAAGTATTATGTAATATGGTGCTGTACCACTATATAGTACGGTGAAGGTTATATCTATCTTCCATTTTTTAATAAATCAATTTTGCTATAAGGCCATGCACAGCGTTTGATATTACCTAGTAAAAATAATTTTCAATTGTTTAAATTTGTTGCCAGTATCATAAGGTCCCAGGCACTCTATCTTCCAGGTAGGTTCAAGAGGGCCCTTACTGTGCAAACTGTGTGCAGGAGACATACAGGAAATCTTAATTGGTATCTGTTAAAAATATAATTTGACTTGCAAATTTTGTAGGTACTCAGTAACCCTCTAGCCCCCAAGGGTGACTAGCATCTATTTTCTCCTTACAGCATCTTGGCTAAATCAAACATAACATTCATGAGAATTAAGGAAGTGATCATCAACATAAGAATCCTTTGATTGTTTAAAAAATTATCTTTGTCAGTGCCATTGGAAATATATAGAGAACAGTATGGAGAAGAAACATATTGATCTTAGGGTGTAAAGGGTTTATTATGTATCACTTCACAAAACAATCCGTTCAAATGGTAAATTAAGTCTGCGGTACTCCATTTGCATCCTCTTTTCATCTCTTGGATTTTGGACTGAAACTAATGTTGTAGCAGTCCCGGGCCTACCCTGTCGGCCAACTCGCCCAGCAAGATGCAAATAAGCGTCAATATTTCTGGCCACTTCTGTTAAATACACATGGTCCAGTTCTTTGAAATCCAGACCCCTCACTGTTTCTTCTGTCCCAACCACAATATTGATCTGTCCGGTTTGAAACTCTGTGAGGAATTTCTCATATTCCTCAGGATCCTGATTAGCAACTTTTTGATACAGAGCTACTGCATTTAGTCCAAGGTCTCTTAACTCCCAGACAAAATCATCAACTGATAGAAGACGGTGAATGAACACCAGACCAGATTTCTGGCTTGACTCCCTGAAAACTCTGTGAAAGACATCAACAAAGTTTGTGAGAAACTTTTTGCACTTCATTTGGCCTCACAATGGTTATGTTAAGGAATGGGAAAATAAATGGATTTTTATAGGAATTAGAAGTAATTAAAAAGGAGAACAATGCTGTCAGTGACATTTGATTCCTTGTCACAAAAATTAAGACCAGTTGTTTTGACTTTGAAATAATATTTTTAGTGATTTATTTGCATTGGCACCTCAAGTTTTGGAGTTCAAAAACATGCCTCTATTTGTAGCTTACTGTTTCTTTAAAGATCTATCGAACCACTCTCAGAGAAAACACTGTGTACATGAAGAAATAGACTCCTGAAGAGTGACTACCATCTACATGTAATTTCTCACTACAATTATATCATGCCTAAATCACACCTCAAGGTCACAAGAATAAAGGAAATGATTACTAACTAAAGAAGTTCTTGATTGTTACACAGGTAATTACTTACCTGGCAAGTGCTTGTGCTTTGGTAAGACCAACAGATTCATCACAGATAACATATTGGTGCTTAATGCATGGTGGAACTTTACAAGGCCATCCTTCAAGAGTGGAAGACTGTACAAGTTTGACATGATCTCCCCAGCCAATTTCTGTTAGGTCCTCTTGGAGAACATCATTCACAGTTGCAGAAGCTCCAATCATCTGGATGTACTTAACCTTTAATAGACAAAGAGAGAGAAAAACTCTGATTATCCAAAAGGATTTTTAGCCTTGACAGACCTTTGCTGATGCTTTATGAGAAAAAAAATTATGTTGGTTCATCTACACTGCAGGACTTAGCTTACAAATCACAAGCTGATTTACAAAAACCACAGAGCACTACTAACACTGATTTAAGGACTACAGACTGAACCAAATGCAAAACAACAATTAGCAATTTAGATTTAAAAGAAGAAATTAGTTTTTACAGAGAAATCTACACCAAACGTAGAGAGGAAATACAAAAGAGGTGGTTCATCTTAGAAAAAGGCAAAGAGTCATCTTTTATATTGTTGGAGAATATGACCATCAGTTTCAAGATCAAGCATGCTGTATTTCACAGGGTCATCACACTACTGCATGAATAATGGGTGCTGTACCTCATCATGATATGCAGAAGACTCGCTGAACATTAATAAAATGAATTTCTTTAAATTAACCTTAGATAACTGAAGAATAATTTCCACCACTGTCTTTGCTGCTCTAGGATAGTTTGCCCGGTGAGTGAGCCTCTTGAATGAGGACCTCTTATGAAGTGGCAAAAGAACTTTGTCCACTTCATCAATTATGATCCTTTTAGTGCGCTGCACTAGTGCAGGATCCTTCTCAATTATTTCAAGAATCCTCTTAGGGGTTCCAATGGCTATCAAAGGTTTCTTTGCCTTATCTTTCAATCTTGCCTCTTGTTTTCTTAAATCAACACCACTCACCTAAAGTAAAACAAAGAAAAAAATTAATATTATTCCATCTTGAAGAAGATGAATATTTTAGTTTCAAGAGTAGGGAAGCTCTTTGAGTTAGATAACCAGAAGTAGAAAACTGTCAGATCCCTCATTCTTTGTGACAAACATTCCCTTACACTATACCTATCTCAGTAAAGGAGGGGGGTGAATAGGCTAACGGATCGGTGGTTTCTGAGAATTATTTTGCCCGGATTTTGGATTTAGAGCAAAATTTTAACAGATTTGCGGACTCTGAAATTGCAACAGTTCGCGGTTTTGTCAGTTTTTTAGGTCCAGATCTTGGATTTTGCTTGTGTGGAAGTTCAGATTGTGGATCTGAACGATCGTCAGAAATGCGTTGTTTTCTGAGTATGTGTATTCTTTTGTCACGAACGAGACTCTCTGCATGTCACACATCAGGGAAATAGTAACGCACTGGGACATCTGCTGTGTTCGCGCCCTTATCCCCTGGGGGGGGACTCCCATATGAAACAGACGGGGATGCTCGTTGTCTCGCTTAGGGGTGTAAATTTTGGATTTTGGTCTCGCTTAGAGTGTTCCAGGCAAAGCGCCAATATTTTAAGCCACCAAGGTCTCGTTTAGGGTTCAGCGAAGAAATACAGAATTAGGCCAAGAGAAACAGAAGTAAAATTTTCTTTTTAACTTGTTTTGTTTACCGTATTACCTCAACATTAACTAGTTTTCTATTTTACCAAGTGCCAAAGAGACAATGCATGAACATGAGCGGTCTCTTGTAGGGGTCAAAATTTGCTTAAGCCATGCCCAGATGGTCTGGGGGTGGTTTAGGGGTTAAATTTCAAATTTCTGATGAGCATCCCCGTTTGTTTCATATGGGAGTCCCCCCCCTGGGCCTTATCCATGACACTGTACCCCACCAATTGCAATTCGCTTGAACGCCATTGCCTAGCTAACACACAACAGCTCAAGGTTTGTTTTTCACCTTTTTACGAGGCAAGTAGCCAACGGATTCGGATTTAACAATTTTTTTAAACGGACTGACGGATTTGATAATCAAGTCATAGGGTATCAGTGGATTTGCATACCCCTATTCACCCTCCTTGTAAAGTTAACAAGTAAATAATTTTGATTCTTGTTATCTTACTTCCCCTTTCAATTTCATTTTTTGTTATCCACTTAATTTGAACCTGTTTACTGATAGATTACATAGCTGTCAGCAACATGTATTATATTTTAGGAGAACTCACAAAAGACTCCACAACAGCTTTGTCACTGAGAAGGCGACGGGCCTCAAACAGCATCTGACTTGCCAGTTCTCTTGTGGGTACAATGATTATTGTGCCAAAGGTTTTTCCAGGAGATTGCAGAGTAGGCAATAAAAATACCATAGTTTTACCAGATCCAGTTTCTGATTGAATAAGAAGACTCTTTCCCTTTAGAACTATTGGTATTGCTTGTTTTTGGATGTTAGTGGGAGTGACAATGCCATAGAGTTTCAGCTTTTGTATAAGCTTTGGATGAAGATCAAAGTCTTCAAATGACAAAATTTTAGACGTGTCAATAACATCTGATTCGTCATTTTCCCTGTCCTTTTCATCACTCTCTTCTTTTCTTTCAAATATTTTTTCACCATCAAGTTCCTCCTCTGTCAAGGACTTGTATACCGGAGTTAGCCTTGCAAAGTCCTCTGCTGTGGGAATCCTAAACTCTGTCGTTCCATCATCATCAAGCAGGTCTTCTCTTTCCTCCTTAGTTAGTTCACTTACAATAGGCAGAGTTGTGACATTTGGAGTCACAAACGTATTTCTGTAATTTTCCTTTGTCGACTTGATCCCTGTTCTTCTTTCTTTGAAAACATTTTGTATATATCCCTCTGTAGTACTCCACAACTGCATGAATTCTTCATCTGGATCACGTTTCTTTTCCTTCTTTACACCTTTCCGTCTGATTCCTGTCACTCCACTCAATTCACCCTCGTTTCGTGGCTTTGAGGCCAAACAACGAACATTATTGATATGACAAGGAAAAAAGGTGCACCGTAGAAGAGGCTGAAGAAAAATGCTTTTAACATAAAATGGTTTCATCGTGAAATCGTCGGCAACTGGTCTAACCTTGAGCCGATAAAATTCAATATTAGTGTTAGAGTGCGTACCCTCAACGTGCGACGATAGATTTCTACCAGGCGTCTTAAGGCTACCCATCAATACAGGTAAACTGGCTCTAGCTCAAAATAGCCTTTGGATCCTTTGGAGGGTAGGGTAAAAGTGCAAACAAGGTATGCAATGTCGTATTTTACCTCAAAAGAGAGGAAATTGTTTATACGTTTAAATCGTTACGAATAAGGCTGAAACTATGTTTTTAATGTTCAACTTAAAATTTCTTTTCAGCCAGTGTGAAATATTTCAAAGGTCATCTCGAGTTTTATCCGTCCCTACTCAGTGAGAGATAGACTGTCACAAACACCTTCTTCCGCTCTTGTCTGTTCAGTCATGCAAGGACAGTCAAACAAACAAGTGGAACAGCAATTAAAATATACTCAACAGGTGATCACAACCGCATTAAATACCGTGTTAGTTAGGTGGTAATTTGAGAGATCTGTACGCAAACCATCAGAGGGTAAGTAATTTTTCCGATTCCGTTAATATGATTTGAAATTATTGTACAATCGTCCCGAGGTCAAGTAACAGCGATGTCTTCGTCACAAATTCATCGTGTCCTGTTTTAGGACTTACTCACAATTCATAATTAAGAAAAAATTTTTCAATTTTTTTTTTCACTAGCAGAGTGGGAGGAAAGATTCTGATGATAAAAACCAGCCAATTCTACCAAGCTAATGCCTTTTTCAAGAAACGACATTGCAAGATACCTTTTTGTGGTATGTGCAGAATTTAACTGTTCGGACAGGAAATGGGATTTATTCCGAGATAATTTCGTGTTTATACCTAAATTAATTTCACCTTTCTTATCTAGGGAATGCGTTTGAGTGTCTTGTATTTCTAAGCTCGATGCGCGTACGTAAAGTTCTCCTTTCGATCCAGACGTGTTGGCAATTGTGAGAGACAATAGGAGCAAGTAGTAGGATTAGCTACAGCTTAGACCTATCTTTGTCCTGTGAAATGTTTTTAAAATTTTGATTGGCTGTTACCATCGTTCGGTAAGAGAAAATCGAACGAGAAAGACAATAACGGAACTTTTGCTTTCTCGGAAGCTTCCCGCGTGAACGTGTTACTTTTGTGAGCTCGTTGACGTACATACTTCGATGATCTTTCAAGAGGCCCTTCGGATTCTTTGGAATTTGTTAACATGTGGCTTGTATTGATAGCATCATGAGCCGTTGTAATTATTGTTTGAAGAGCTGTGTGTGCAAAGTCACTCACGCATGTACTGGCATACTAATTATGAATAATAGATTTGATTACGGAAAAAGATACCACAAACGGTTTTAGGGGCTGTACGTAAGAATGACAGTGCTTTTTTCGAAGTCTTCCCTGATGAAATTTCTTAATCAATAGGAATCATCCCTGATGAAATTCCTTAATCAATAGGAATCACTGAGATTATTTCCTCGTAGCGCCCTCATCAATTCTATTTGATACTGCTAATCCTATTGTAATCTCAATTAGCAGCCAATCAGAATAAAGACCATACGTCAGAGAGTGTAGCCGACCTAATTGGTAGTAAGTGCTGCATGGGTGGAAAATTGCAATTTATCAATGACATTCAGTTCAAGATTTGCATAAGTTTGTATCTGATGGGAGAATGGCAATGTTTCTTGATCAAACGAAGTGATAAATGAATAAATCACACCACTGAGAGCCAGTCAGTACAAGGATCACATGTTTTCAGTGATTTTAAAATCAATGTGATAATAAAAATGAATAAAAAATAGCTTTAGATGTTAAATTTAATTTTTTTTGCCTGCAGACAAACCTTTACTCCTATGATTGTAAATGTTGTTCAAATTTGAAATGTGCACAATATTTTCATTTGATGACCCATCGCACACTATCGATAAATCTTCAAAAGTACTCTTGAGGATTTGGAAAGCTTGTTCTTGATATAATAGTATTTAATTGTGGGTGTTAATTTCTATTCATCATTAATTATATTGGGCTTGATAATCCTGTCAGTAATAATAACATGATATGGAGTAATATAAATTTACTCCCAACCAATATCATTTCATATTGGATAACTATTTTGTAGATTCTTTTTTACAATATGGTAAACAGTATTACTTTCACTTAGACACCCATACTTAAGAACTATGTTTAGGCATGAGTGATTTATTGTTTGGGATCAAACTTTTGTGCCTAGACATGCAAAGCTTGGCACACTTTAAATAATTTTAAAAAATAATTACAAATTTTCCAGAAATAGTTATGTACAAAATCATCTAAATTAGGAAAGGATTTTTTTTGTAGTTCACTGACATCTACATTGTTTTCTTCGAGCTTCTGTGATATGACAAATTACGCGAAATGCTTTGTATATCAAATATCAGCCTGTTGATTTTAGGGAGCCAATATTGTTCAGAACACAGTTAGCAACTTTCCTTTAATGATTGCACAAGGAAAATTTATTTTCAATCAGTAAACACCTTATCTTTCTGTCACTGAGCTCTGCACTCTTTGTTAGGATAAATTTAATTTGCCCAGCTCAGTAATCTTAATTGTCTTTGAAAGGTGGAAAACTGAAAGCATTCCATTCGAGGTCTTAATGTCAAATGTCTTCATCTTGGTCTAATAAGAAATTGGAAATCACACTCTTCAAAAAAATAAGAAATCATTTAGGTGTTGTGATATCAGCATCAAATGTCTTGAATATTACTCAACAAGATGAACTGTCTCACTAATTGTTTAGTGATGAATAAGTTTTTTTTTATGACAAAATAATCTGGAAAACATAATTTATCAATGATAATTACAACATGTGAAATATGGTAAATAAAGTGCTGTCATTATTAATTGAAAATGTGCATTGTAAACTAAACAGGTGACAAAATCTCTGAAATCATAGCATACTGTGTAGTGAGTTCTGTATCAGAAAAGTGCCTGCTCCTCCAAGCATGACAAAGTTTTTCTGAACATCAGAGCATTCCAGTTTTGCATGTGTTAATCAATTGAGAAGCTCTTTTAAAAGGGTTATAAGACCAAGATAGTTCATAATTTTAGACTATGCTATCATTGCCTAGTATAATTTCCTTTAGGAAGTGTGGCTTTCAAGAACCCTCACCCCCCCCCCCCCTCTTTTCATATTTTATTTTTTAATGACCCTTCCTGGATCAGAGAGGTATGTATATTTTCTAAAAAACTCTGAACAGCTTTGAATTAATATTTAACTCCTAATTTTGTCTGATTTTAGCAGAAAACCTTTAATTTTTTTCTCCTGCGGCTTAAATTAAGTCATATTTCAATTCAATGTTTTAAATCCTGCTTGTTATAAATAAATGGAATTTTTTTTTTTCTCAGATCATATGGATGAGTGTAAATGCTGCACTCTTTGCCTCAACATACATGAAATATGGCACAACAAAAAAGTACCATTATCTGAGGATTATTATCAAGGTACCTATTGATTCCTCTGACTGACAGATTCATTTTAAAGTAACCTGAACACTGGATGTTACTTGCTGCATCAATAGTAAAAAAAATTGAGGTCTCTGACAAACTCTAAATTTTGAACATTTAAAACAATTTGTTTGGTCGCTCTGGGATAAACAAACAATTTGATTGGTTGCTCTGAGATAAACGGGCCATTTGATTTAACTTGGTTTTTTAGCATAATTTACACTAATCCATTTCCCAAATATTATCTCCCTAAAGTATATTAATTAAAAGTATATTAATTTAATTAATCTTGTTAAAACTAAATTTTTACGTGAAACTGATCTAACTTGCATTAATGAATAGCTTAATGATGGATTTTTGTTTCATTTTTTTTGTTGAATTAATGTTAAGATGAATCTTATGGTTTAAAACTGAAATGCTTATTCTTAAATAGACAGTGTGGTCTTTTTTATGGCAAAAGGCCAGACATGAAAAGTCTTCTTTAATCTGAATTAAATAATTTTGATGATATTGTTGTTCCTAGGGTGGACTCCCTTATGCCCGAGGTGCTGCAATGGTGTTGAACTTCAACTGCATGTTAATCCTGCTATCCATGTGTCGTAACATCATCTCTTTTATCAGAAGCAATCTCAATGTATGTTATTTACTAGATAGTACACAATCATAAAAAATTTTTTTGTGATTATTGTCAGGTTCAGCTGTACTGTGCTGCTATTTGATTGGTCAGCTTTATAGGCCATTGGTTTTACTCTTTAGTTAATGTGATGTGCTTGAGTTATCTCAAACCCAGTCATGAATTCACTTTGACAGAAACAATATATTTATTATCAATGATGATTCACTCTTATTTTTCCTAGTGTGGTTGGTGTGGAAGTATTATTAGCCTTTTGGACAAGAACATAACTTTTCATAAGTACTGCGCTTACACGATCTGCCTTTTCACTGGTGAGTGAGTTATATGATAACAAATCCCTTTATCCAGGGGTTGGTGTTTATGAATTTATGTCTCCACATAATGATTATTGATAGAATTTGTGGGCAAGTTATGGGCACTTTTCAATTGTAAGTCAAAAGCAGTTCACAATTTTATTCATTTGGTTTTCCTTTTCTATGTGTTGCAGTTACGTTAACTGCAATATTGTTTCTTAGAAAACTCAATCCCACATCCTCTCTCTGAACCAATGAGATACAAAACTGAAAGGAATCGTGACTAGGACGCTTGAATCTTCCTTGCTAGGACTACTGGTGGTTTCAGTAAGGGGTATTTATACTCAAATCTTGTACATGATCTTCTTTGTTCATTGTGATAATCACATCCAATGGCTTTTATTAGTTTTGGTAACTTCATCAAAACTCAGTTGAAGAGCACTTTTAATTTGCATCTTGCTACTTGGTAGCAAAAAGTTAATAAAACTGAAATCATCAATAACTGAAAGAGAGTTGTTATACCCTCAGGGTTAACAATGGCTTCTCTCCTATTTCATAAGCCAGGAGAATTTATAAATTACAGTACTGTAAATATATTTTTTCATAAATTTGTTTCTTGTTTACAGTGGTTCACATATGCGGCCACTGTTTCAACTTGACAAACCTCGTTGAGAGCCAATCAAAGGCTGACACAGAGATAGAACAGCATTTGAGTCAGTTAGATAACCCTTGGCTAAATCCTATCAGAGAATCTGGAGTTGTAAGTTGAAAGAAATGTTATTGTTTGGTATCAAGATCTATTATTTATTGTAGTTAGGTAGAGCCTGCTTATGAACTAAGTGGCCCATCTGGCTGGCACATAAATCCGGTTCCTTAGCATGAAGCAACTAGTAGTATTTCTAGTCCCCCCCCCCCCCTTCCTGGATGAAATGCAAGTCTGTCACAGGGTTACCCCTAGCATTAAATTTGTTGGTACCCATTTTTCTCCTGGGTGAAGAGAGGCACTGTTAGAGTAAAGTATCTTACCCAAGATGACAACACAATGTCTCCAGTCAGGGCTTGTACCCGGACCACTTAATTCAGAGTCAAGCATATTAATATTATTGTGGATGATTATGAACTTTGTGAAATGAAAATAACGCTTTATCATGTAGAATGATTTAGCTTTAACCCTTTAACTCCCGTGATCTGATCGTTTTAAATTAATTCCTCAAGCTGGCGCTCCACACTTTCTTGATAATTAGTTATGAGAATTTGGTATTAGAACAAGATGCCTGGAACTTCTACCCTTCTTTTTTGCTGGATGCATGGTGTATGCATATTACTATCAGAAGAATTGCTAGTAATTGCAATGGGCTATATTAAGGTTATTGTTTGTTTATCCATAGGATCCTGTATCTGGATTGTTTCAGACAGGTACGATAAAATGATTATTAGGTTGTGAAAATTTTCACTCTAGAAATAAATTTAAAGAAATCACCTTGCATTTTAGTGGAAGATTCTCATCACAAACAGTATTTGGTAACTTAAAAGTAATGTTTTCCTTTCGATGCAGTGGCTGGGGTGACAGGTGTGGTGATGACTTTGTCATTAATTCTCATGATATCGTCGGCAACTGAACTTATAAGGTTTGCTTTTGATCAACTGAAGTTGATTTGTTAATTAAAGCTGTTTGAATGAGATGCAATCAGTAACTGTATGATGCATGATTATTAAGTCTAAAAGCTTGTCAAACACGACTATCAATGATTAAGTCATGGTTATAATCTTACTTTCCACAATTATCAATCGCAATAGAACACTCTTTGCCACTAATAATTGCAAGAGAAGGCCTTTGCGATTAATAACCTTAATTTTAGGATCTTATGACAAATAATTGTTGAATTTTTCACTCTGTAAATTAAAAAACACTCCTGACCAGAAATTAATAAACACCTGTTTATTAATTGTTATTATTATAATTATTATTATTAGTAGTGGTGATGTTCAAGTTAGCTTTTAATCAGCTTTAATGATGTTTAAATCTGTTGTGTAGTGTGGATATATAGAGACAGATTTTTCCATAAAAGCATCTGTTTCTCGATCAGACAAGTTAAGTGACTGTGAAATGAGGATTTTTCATCGAGGCCATCCATTAACCCTTTTATTAACTCCCAAGATCTGATTGTTAATTCTCCTCTCCAGCTGCTATACATTTCCCTGTAAATTTAATGGGTTATGAGAATTAAGTGTTAGATCAAGATAACAACTCCTGCCTGATAAGTTTGAGTATATTCTTTTTACCTGTTTGCAGAATAATGTGTGGATTTTTTAGAGAGAAGTTACATGTTAATCACTTCTGAAAAGTAAAGGGTTTATAATGATCATAAATTGATGTGACAGAAATTGAAGTCTTATTTACAAGTAATTAAAAAAAAATACCATCAGCTGATCACATAAGGAATCAAATAATCATCGATGTCATATTATCTGATTATTTGTTTATTAAATCCTTATTTGCAGGAGATCTTACTTTGAGACTTTCTGGCTCACCCACCATTTGTTTGTTGTCTTCTTTGGCTGCCTTGTTGTGCATGGCATTGGGTAATTACTCATTGACTGTCCATTTTATTGCTGACAGTGATTGTGTCATTTTTGAAAAATTCAAAAAGTAAATTTAAAATCATTTGAACATTTTCAGATATTTGAAAACCTCAATTGTTTGCCCACCAGCATCTCTAAAATTTTTGTCTTAAATAAATATATGAAGATGGCTTTTGTTTGGAAAAAAATCACCCTGTTCCATTATTATTGATATCTAATTAATCCCTTTATGAGAAACTTGAAATCTTAGTGTCATTCTTTTTCATCTTTTTAAATGTGGTGGCATTCCTTTGATAAAGTTAAAGTAGATCTCTCTCTCCCCCTCCCCCCACAGGTGTCTCAGACAGTACAATGCTATACTCATTTGTTTTCTTGCATGGAAAGGGCAGCACTTTAAGAGTAGAGTGCCATGCTCAAGATCATTCAACTCAACATAATGATGTTGTCAGGCTAGGGTTTGGACTCTTACTAACTCTGACTCCCTTTGTGCAGCACATTTAACCAAAATACCAGAAATCGGCCTGCTTCTAACTAATCCATAGGAATTTCAAGAGACTTATTCTTTTAGATGGTTAAAATGTTTGAATAAAATTGTCCTCTTAGTTAGTAAGCCTTTCAATTTCATTGTCACGGTCTGTTTCTCATGAATCAGTTCAACTTGTATTTGTAGGGATCTTCTACGTTATCAAACCAACATGAACGAGCATGATCCTGAGATCTGTGATAATGTAAATTATTGGAAGAATCATTCAACCAGCTGCTACAAAGTCCGACCACAGCTAGAAGCACCTGGAGCAATGGTACCATTACTGCCTTTTTTAAAACTATTTACCTCATACTTTAACTTAATGTTAGCAATGAATCCATATAACCTGATGTACACAGGTGAGAATGGTCAAATTTTGATGCTGGACTGAATTGTAAGTTTGTGACTATATGGACAATTGTTCATTTGTTTAGACATGGAAGTTTGTGATTTTCCCTATGATCCTGTATGGTGCCGAACGGTTACTCAGAATATACAGATCTTTCCAGAAGGTGACAATTCTTAAGGTGAGATCACATGTCTAAGAAATTATTTTGAATAGAATAAGAAAGATGGTAAGTTTTAAGCTTGGTAGAGAAATAGGGAGAGATGATTTTCATCTTGTCACAAGCGTGGGACAATCATATGAACTTTATCAAGGGCCTTGCTCACCATAGCCCATTGCAGAAACGTTAGAGGACTGGGATGAGTTTCTTATATTGATTACATTGAAAATCTAAACATTTCAACTGAAATGTTACTGAATGAATAGCTACCCAGCCAAGTTTGAGAGTTTTGAGCGGAAAAGTGTCCAGATTGGAGCCTTGCGAAAGTTGCAAAAATTCCATACAAACCCTTAAAATTTTTTGCCCCGTCTACCCAATTCATGCAAACTCTCCATTTTAGGTGATGTTTGAAAAGCTGTCATTTTGCCATTTTCCTCTTCTAAATACTTCTATTCTTGCTTAAAACTCTCAAATTTAGTTGATCTTTCATTTGATTATCCTAGTTTTTCAAACAAATGGAAAACAACCACACTCTTTCCCAGTCCTCTCATGTTTCTGCAATGGCCTGAATGGTCTCTATGGCCCAGTGGTAGAGTATCCAAGCACAGAATTGGAAGGTCTGACTGAAGTTCTATTCCTCATGGGGACTCAGTTTTTTCTTTGTCCCATGCTTGTGATAAGAGGTGTTATTTTAAATTTACTTATTACTTTTAGTTTAAATAGCATCCATTCAATTCATTTGATAGCATTAAACAAAACTGTTTATTCTTTGACATATGTCTAAGGAATAAATGTAAATTGTTCAACTATATTAGCTGTACAATACAGCGCACTCTATGAGAAATTAAATAGAAAGAGTTGTGATGTGTCCAACAGGTTACAATAAGTAGTTACTATTAATAATGATGATTCTTAACTTTGTCATTATTATTTATTAATTTTATATATTCCTTTTATTTACTTCTAAATAGTTTCTTATTTTTATAAGGTTGTAAAACATCCATCAAGGGTGCTTGAAATTCAGATGAAGAAAGATGGATTTACATGTGAAGCAGGACAGGTAAGAGATGCTACTGGAACTTATTATGCACAACTTTATTTGATTTGATGAGTTTCTTCAGCCTTAATTTAATTCTACAAACTCTGCAGCTAGTGAGTGAGCTTCATTTAATGTCCACTTATTTCTGTTTTAGTACATTTTTCTGAAATGTCCCAAGATCTCACATCTGGAGTGGCATCCGTTCACTTTAACATCTGTAAGTATGAATATATGGTTGTATTAATAAAACTTATTTGCAGTTTTAAGAAACTTTTATGAGGAGCAGGGTTGGTGCAGTGGTGGGAGTGTTCGCCTCCCACCACTGTGGCCTGGGTTCAATTCCCTGACCTGGTGTCACATGTTGGTTGAGTTTTTTGTTGGTTCTCGTCCTTGCACCGAAGGTTTTCTCCAGGACCACCGTCTCAGAAGATCAGGCAACCACTTCCTACATTATTGACTTTAAATAACTTGTTATATATTTAATTCAGTGTATAGTATCACTTAGGATTGTATCTGTTTTGCTTCACTGCACTCTGAGATTGGTCATAAAACAAATTCTGCTTCTGTCTCTACCAGTCTCGTACATATGTTAATCTGAAATCAGCTCATTAAGATTTGGTTTCCCTGCACTTGAGTCCATTTACCAGCAATTTCTTTGGGGTTCCTTGCTTGTATATCGTGTTTACAGTTAGCAGTGAGTGTGATCATGAGGGTTTTGTTGTGAAAGCACTGTTAACAATGTTACAATTCTAGATGTTACGGCAACCTCAAGGGGTTTTATTGTCAGATTCATGTGATATTAACAACGATTAATTGCTTTCCTGTCAAAAGTACGACCACATTACATGGTTGGCTGTTATTCTCAGGTTGACACCCTTTATGTAGTGTACTGTCATATTTATCACTTTTGATTGGTTAATAAACCATATAATGTGCAAATATTCTCTAGTTACTCAGTTCTGAGGATTTAGAGACTTGTTTCTTTCAAGCCCCGACTCAGGTATTTACATAAAACACGTCTCTATTCCAGGCCCCTGAGGAGTCATACTTCAGTGTTCATATCAGAAATGCTGGTGATTGGACAGGTAGTCAATTTTAGATGCAATTATAAATTAAAATAGAACCTTTATCTTTTGTTAGAGTGTGTGAAGTGGGCCGGTCACATAAAATCATCTCTTCCACTTACAGAACAAATCTCCCAATCTCCTGTGAATTAAATTAACTCTAATAAGACATTTAGATGAGAGTAAATTTTGATATATTTTTTCCTTTTAAGAGGGGATATCTTGAATAAACTTTGCCTTCAAATATTAGGTCAAGGAAGGTTGATTAGCCCAACACTTACATTGTGAGACAAACAATCAAAGGTTCATTTATTTATAATGCCATGATGAACAACAACATTCCAACCCCACTTGCACAATTCCATAAAAAACTATTAAGAAAGCTGACATGTGCAGGGCGGGATGAGTTGATGTGAGCCAGTCTGGAAAAAGCTTTGTTTTGTTGCATAAACATAAAGAAAAAACAAAAATGAGAAAAGAGTTGCATTTTTTTAAGGAATTGTGAGTTTCTTGTTCTAACTTGAAAAAATTACAGAAAAGTTATGATTCCAGAATTCCTCTTTGTGTGTGTTCCTGTGGCTGCAGGCGCCTTTTTGTCGCATCCAATTTAGGAGGAAATTTTCAACAGTTAGTGGTCATATAATAAAATGCTTATTGACTGAGTATGGTCATAGCCAACAAGAAAATATTTGGCTCTTGATCACAAGGGATGCCGACCTCGCTGCGCTCAGTCTCTACATCATGACGTCCAGCCAAATATTTGGCTCTTGGTCACAAGGGATGCCGACTTCGCTGCACTCAGTCTCTACATCATGACTTCCAGCCAAATATTTTCCCGTTCTGCCCTTCCACTCAGTCGATAAGTACATATTATTTATAGGTACATCTTTCTTTTTGTATACTGTACTTCTTTTATTTCCTATTTGTCTATTTATTATTTAGACAGCCTACACAGAGAGTTTGGAGCATATGACAGTGGAACAAAAGATATTAGCTCCTGTCCAAGGTTTAATAAATGCAAGTTTTTTAAGTATTTAATTTTTTAAATGTTGTTAGCATTAATATTTGATGATAGGTTAGCATGAAATCTAATCTTTTTTTTATGATCCTTTTTAAAAAAGTTGTTAATTGATTAATTTATGAGTGTTTTGCCTTGGCACCAACTGAAGTAATTAATCCTATGACCCCTAAGAGTGACTAACATCTATTATTGAAAACTGGATCATTTGATAATGCAATTTAAGACTTTTTATTGGCTTAGCTATTATGGTATATGAGCCAATATACCATAATCTACCAATATGGTAAGCATACACATCAGCTTAAAATTAAATGGGAACCAAAAAATGTAATAAAATTTAATAATTTAATTTAACGTTTTTAATAAAACAATTATTCCCCTCGCGCTTGTTGGATGTGAGATGATTGTAGCCAACTTGGCGCTATGCGCCTCGTTGGCTCTATATCATCTCATATCAAACGTACACTCATGGAATAATATTAAATTTCCCCATACAATATAAACCCTGTGTAACTCACAAGAAAAAGGAAATGATCGTCAACTAAAGAATAGCTTTTGATTCATAGTCAGCACCTTAGGAAATGCAAACAGAACAGTATAAAAAGGGTATAAAGGGGAAAGCCAAAGGTTTCTTGAAGAGAAATCATACTGAGGAATCTAGTTTATATTTTCGTCCTGTAGGTTGGCTGTGGATGGCCCTTTTGGGACATCAAGCACTGTAAGAGGCTCTTGTTCTTTATAATTACTTGCCTTAATATATATCTTGTTAGTAATGTTGATTATAACTGGACTGGATCTGGGATTTTTCCTAAGAAGGGGTGCACCACTAAGGAATGACACAGAATACTAATTGTATGAGAAAGCCACAAGTGTTCTTTATAAGTGGGGGGGGGGGTGTGCACCCCCTGCACCCCTCCCCTAGATCCACCCCTGCATAAGGAATGGTAGCTGTCTCAACATCATTGGACATTATGATTTCACTATGATTGTTTTCATTACTGTCATCGTTTACTTGTGATGTAGAAAACAATTATTTTATGTATTGATTTGTTTAGGATGTGTTCAAATATGATGTCATTATGTGTATTGGGGCTGGTATTGGAGTAACTCCCTTCGCATCAATATTGAAGTCTGTTTGGTGAGTACTTGTTTAATAGAGAAAGATTTTTATTCCCTTTATGTCGTTCTCTCTGATTCAGTTACCAGTAATAAATTTGGTTTAACTAGCCCTCTCAATCCATTTTAGTCCTTTCACTCCCATGAATTATCAAGACAAAATTTCTCCTTACAATATCAATTCATTATCAAGCAGACAAGTAATGAGAATGAGGAAAAAAGAAAATCAGGAGATTATCAGTTGATCCAATACCAAATTCTCCAAACTAAGATCATAAGTATTGTATGGCAGACAGTGAGGAGAATTACTATCATGCTACCATTGAGATCTTGGGAGTGAAAGGATTAATTAATTAATCCACCCTTGATTTTCTTTAATATTCTTTTATTTATTAATTTGTTCGTTCAACAGTTCTTGTAACTACTCTTTTCATTCAAATACAGCAAGAGCCATGGCTATCTTTGTTTTACTTATATGCATTCTCTGACAATAGATATAATTTATTTAACAGTAACTATTAAATCTCCTCTTTTCTTATGGCAGGTATCGTCAGAACAAACGTCATTCTGACCTTAAGATCCAGAAGGTGTATTTTTTCTGGATCTGCCGAGATGAAAAGGCCTTTGAATGGTTTACAGACCTTTTAAGGTATTTGGAAGTTCAGGTAAAAAAAAAATACATGAATCACTTCGGTCATATATGGCTATACATGTCCATGATACTTAGATTATTTAAAACATTTGGGGTTAGAAGATCTCTTTTGGGTAAAATTACAAAATAATTATGGACAATAATAATTCCTAAATACCTTGAATTTCAGATGGCAGAATTGAATATGCAGAACTTTGTGGAATATCACATATATCTCACAGGATGGGACACTAAATTGGTAAAACTCCTTGAAATAAATGAACATGCTTTAGATATGTAAAACTATTAATATTTAAACTAGAGTTTGGTTTTGAGTCAATGTGACTCATCTCTGTTATTTCCTGCTTTAAAAATTTGTCGAGGGGAGGTTGAGTGTGTGGTGTGTGTTGATATGTTTTATCACCACCGCATACACGTTATATTTGCAATTAGAAGAAGGTGGACTGAGTTGAAGTTTAATGTTCATCTTACACCTTGTTCTAGGCAAATACGAATTGTGAAGTCTGATGGTATGTCCTCTCCCCCCTCAGTGATTTACACTTGAATTTCATAGTATATGCCCTGCATCGTTTTCTCTGTGTGTTCACGAGACCTAAAAAATATGGAAATGTCATATTTAACATGTAGCTATCATGTGGATTTTGGAAAGAAATTAAGTGCTCATGTGTAACTGCTTATTTCAGGCAACTCAGTCAGCGATACATCAGGGTGATCAAGAAGATAACATAACACATTTGGATGCTAAGACACAGTATGGCAGGCCAGAGTGGAACAAGATTTTTAAGGGTATTGGGGAGAAACATAAAGGGTGAGTAACAGTATTGGGAACTTCAGGGGTATAGGCTGCAATAATGAGCAAAAGAATGGAGGAAAGTATAGACATGTAAATCAACAGTTGGTGGCAGACACACATGTAGCTGTCTAGATGAGTTTTTAAATCAATGCTGCACAGTACTCTATTTACTCTGTCTCTTGGTTCATCAGTGACTTCAGCCTGCTTAACTTGTTGACTTTAAAAATTCCAACTCCACTTTTTTTGTCTGACATTTAATAGATTCTAGTATTCTAACAATTTTTCCTTCTCTGTTGTAGGACAGAAATTGGTGTCTTTTTCTGTGGACCAAGTGCTTTATCGCATATGTTACACAAAAAAGCCAACCAGTACAGTAATCCAAGCACAGGAGTCAAGTTTTGTTACAACAAAGAAAATTTCTAATTTTTTAGAAGGGCAAAAATCACTATCTTGTCACAGTATGATTTGCATTTAATGGAATCAGCTTCTTATTTGACTCAGCGCTTTAGTTAAAACCTTTAAAGATTCTATCCTGCCAAACTATGGTAATCAAGATTATTAATTAATATTTAAAATACTGGTAAGTGCATGTAGCTTGGTTAAGTTGTTCAGTGGACTGAATTTGTTAGAGTATGAAAATAATAGAGGGCTTCAGTGCAAGTTAATAGGGAGTTAAAGAAAACCATGATGCCCGGGGGGGTACTCGATGTATTCTTGGGTGGGGAGGTGTGGTGCAGCCCCTCGTACCCTGACCCTGTTTAAGACAAATATCGCTGATTTTCCTACCCTGTTTAAGACAGAATTCCGATTTTTGATACCCTGTTTAAGACATTTAATGTGCCTGGTATCAATGCCAAAATCAACGGAATTCAATATTAATTAAAATTAGAGCTTGTAAAAATTTTGCTGTTTATCTTCCAAGAAAAGATATCCTGTTTAAGACAAAAATTGATAAATCGATACCCTGATTAAGACAAAAAATGATAAATTCGATACCCTGTTTAAGACAAAAATCTCGAAAAACATACCCTGGCTGGCCGCACGTCCCCATTAAGCCCTTATAAGGGAGTACCCCCCCGGGGGATTACCTTCTTCTTTCCCGCGGCGTTGTTGAGATTCTGGGCTGATGTAAATTTCTTTTAAGATACAGTTGGACCCCGATAATTCGAACTCGGATAAGTCGAAGTCCCCGCTAATTCGAAGTACAATTCATTTCCCTTGGTTTTGCCCACTTTTCTCAGTCATTTTACCTCGGATAATTCGAAGTCTCCGCTAATTCGAAGTAATTTCTGTTCCCTTAGGTCGGATTTTACCCCGATAATTCGAAGTTAAGTTACCAGCTGAATGAAAAAGAACAGACGCTATCGGAAATTAGAATATATATTTATGTAATAACAGTTTCGAACATTTCACAGCTCGTTAATCCCTTTATAATTGTGTAAAANAAGGCCAGATGGCACCAGCAATGGGTACATCACTAAACAAAATGTTTAATGAGTCAGAACAATGGCTGTGCACATGCATTGTAAATATTAATAGATTTCCTAGCATCCTTTGCAAAATAACATGAAATTACCAAATGTTGGGTTGTCTGGAGAGTGTAAAGAATGACAGCTAGTCTTTTTAATTTTTATTTTTTTTCTAACATTATTGGGTACCATTTTCAGTTTTGAGATAGTTTTGATAGTGAGAAAATATAGAAAGAAAAACAATATATATATCTTACTAACCAAGTGCGAGGGCCGTACTGGGAGAATATTGGCCTGAGGTCTTGACAATACGGACCGAGCGCAGCTCGGTCCGTACAAAAAAGACAGAGGGCCGATATTCTTCCAGTATGGTCCCGAGCAAGCTTGGTTAATAAGAGATTTATTATACAACTGAAGTTCAAAGGGACACAAGTGCAGTATCATTCGAGACCATTCTGGACAGTGCCCAGTCCAATACTGAGAGAATATTGGCTGGCAATAAAGCATTTTGATTGGTTGATTTTAGTTATTGGCCCTCTGACTGCCCGAGTCGTGTAGTAAAGTGAAAAATGCATACTGATGTTAGGGTGTTAAGGGTTAATAATGAATCAAGATGTAATATTTTAAAAAAGAAAGTCATCTTATTTCTTTAAAAGGGTGAGGAAACCTTATAAATCTAATGGCACCTAGGACACTATGTAATCTGAGAGAGGAGATATCATTGTTACTTAATTTTTCACTGTTGTACTGATTGGCGTTTGTTGTAACTTCAGTAAAAAAAGTGAATTCCAGTCAAGAAAATGTGTACTGGATGTTTTAGAATATACACAAACAATGATTTACAATTATTCACTAGAGTGGGATATCAACTACTTTAACCAAAACTGAGGGGAATAAGCCTCAGGAGAACCAGAAAATTAGTTTATTTTTGTTAACATACCACAAAATGGTCAAAAATAAAACTCCTAAATGACACTCTTGCCTATTCTGCTGCTTGAAGGTGAATAATGCCTGCTAATCACTTCTGAGTTAGCCCACCAGTTCATGAAAAAAGCACCTTTCAGTTGTGAAATATTCACTTCTATTTATCATTATTCTACACTAGACTTGCTATGAAAAATCTGATTGGTTGAGAGCATTCAGTTCATATCCAATAATGTGTCAAGTTAACACGATAAATGCAATATATACAGTGGATATTGCATTTATCATATCAAGAACTAATTCTGCCTAGTTTCTATGCCCCTTGTTTGTGTAGTGTTTTCACACTTTTGCAAACTCAGAGAGAAGTGTCTCTTATAGATTGTTCAAAAATGTACCTTTAAGTTAATAAAACGATTATTGAATTTGGTTTTGCATGATATCATGCTCAACTGCATGCAGCAAATGCTTATTAATCACCCCATTGGCACAAAAATCAGTGGATATTTACCACACTATTCACCTTGCCTAAAAAACCTCAATGTATTTGATTTACTTGTGGAATTTGTAATAAAGGAACAAACACCCTTATTTCAATCATTTACAGTGCCAGTTACGATTGTGATGAAAATTAAAATATTTAATCAAATTGATAATTATGGTGCTGTTTGTGTCGATATGAGAGTTGGAGACGTTTGTATCTTTATGATAAATAATATTTAAAAATGTTACCATTATTGCTCAAACCCCAAACAGAAGAATAAGATTTTTTACTAAAAATGAGGTTCTCAGAAAGTTGTAATAAATGAGGCCTAACAATATCTCACTGGTGTATGGCTCATAATCTCTCAACTGGTGTGTTCTTAATGTTTTGTATTGGATGCAGAGTAGACCATTGTTGCCCTTTATTGGAGAAAAGATCACTTTTACTCTCTTATGTAAATCAAATGAAATGCAATTGGTGCAGGATTCACCTTTGAAGCTGGGCAACAAACAAACATTAAACAATATCTCTGGTCCGAATATTCCTAGGATATAGTAATCAACACAGCCTGCATCTTTGTAAACAATTTATCTGATACTGCTGAAGTCTTCTTTAGGAAAAGAAATTAAAAGCTCATTCCCCTGGTAAAAATATTTTCCTACTAAGCTTTTTCTTATAACAAAATTCACCTCCACCCAATTCCTGATCAAAAGAATCCAATAAGGAGACATTAAAAACTGGTTCTAAATCAAGGAACTCCTGTCCAACTCAGTTAATTCTTGCTTATTATAAACCCTGGGTTAATTATCATCCAATAAATGGCTAAGGTTGTACCTAAGTGGTTCCCCTTAATGGTTAGCCCCTTACTCCATCTTCAACTTTCCTAAATTGACTTGCTTTCTCTACCCAGTTAGTAAAAGTAGTGATCAAAGCCACTTCGACAGATATCTTGTGCCTTCACCTCAACCTGTCTAATAAATTACTTTCAGTTCATCTCCATCTTTCTAATTAGCTGTTGAAGCATACTTGCTCTGAAATAGACCTTTCCAGACCAGGACCCACATCTGAGATGAGGGTTCTAGATGCAGCCATACATGGAATGATTTGAAGTGTCCTTGATCGACTGAATCTCCAAATTTTCAAAATTTTCGCTCTTCCTCAGTTTACTCATCAATAAAACAAAGGTATTGAATAGTGCCCAGGTCATCAATTTATGGTACCTCAAGAGTTCATGTTCATTTTCTTATTAACACCAGAATTTGTGATGGTACATTTCAGATAAGATTTTTATTGAAAATCCACAAAAAGCCAAGAGAATGAGACTTCTGCTTTTGAACTAAGATGATTAAGGAAAGATGTATCAATGATTTCAATGCACATTAACTCCTTTAGTGCTATCACCAATTTATGAAGGCCCTTACAAGGGAAAATTTGAGGAGGGCACTTGCTATGAGGGGTCACTTCCTGGAGTGAGGGCACAGAATTAAATCATTGCACAAGTCATTTTCGTAGCCTATGGCATTCTCCATACTCAATTTTCAGGAGTATAATCTTGTTTAAGGGAAAACCTGAACCTTCGTGGAGCTTTAATATGACCACCTAGTGCTTTAAGATACACTTCACACGTTCAATCCAACAAAATTTTAATAGGCATTGACGTAAATCTCCTTACAGTTTTTGTATCTTTCCAAAGGTAGTCTAAGCAAAAAAATTTTGAACCTGTTTACAATATTTTAGAACTGAAACAATGCAAAAAAAGAAAAACTTGAACTACGAAAAAACCCCAGATACTAGTTGCCTTATGTAGTTTTAATAATCCAACTGTTAGGTCAGTGTTCAGGGATTTTAATGTCCACCTCTCAGACGCAGCACCAAATGAAGGGTTGATTCTTTTTGGATGTTGTAGTCGCTCAAGGTGCGGCCATCTTCAAGTTGCTTGCCAGCAAAGATTAACCTTTGTTGGTCTGGGGGAATACCTTCTTTGTCCTGAATCTTGGTCTTGACATTCTCAATTGAATCACTGGGTTCAACCTCCAAGGTGATTGTTTTGCCAGTCAGGGTCTTCACAAAGATCTGCATGCCACCCCGCAGGCGCAACACCAGGTGGAGGGTTGATTCCTTCTGGATGTTGTAGTCACTCAGGGTGCGACCATCTTCTAACTGCTTCCCGGCAAAGATCAACCTCTGTTGGTCTGGAGGGATACCTTCTTTATCTTGTATCTTTGTCTTGACATTCTCAATGGAGTCACTGGGTTCAACTTCAAGGGTAATGGTTTTGCCTGTAAGGGTTTTTACAAAGATCTGCATACCACCACGCAGACGCAGCACAAGGTGAAGAGTTGATTCCTTCTGAATGTTGTAGTCGCTCAAGGTACGGCCATCTTCTAATTGCTTTCCTGCAAAGATCAATCTCTGCTGATCCGGGGGGATGCCTTCTTTATCCTGGATCTTCGTTTTGACATTTTCAATCGAATCGCTGGGCTCTACCTCGAGGGTAATGGTTTTCCCTGTCAGGGTCTTGACGAAGATCTGCATACCACCACGCAGACGCAAAACAAGATGGAGGGTTGATTCTTTTTGAATGTTATAGTCACTCAGGGTGCGGCCATCTTCCAACTGTTTGCCCGCGAAAATCAACCTCTGCTGGTCGGGTGGGATGCCCTCCTTGTCCTGGATTTTTGTCTTGACGTTCTCGATTGAGTCGCTGGGTTCAACCTCGAGGGTAATTGTTTTTCCTGTCAGGGTCTTAACGAAGATCTGCATACCACCACGCAGACGCAAAACAAGATGGAGGGTCGATTCTTTCTGGATGTTGTAGTCGCTCAGGGTGCGGCCATCTTCTAACTGTTTGCCGGCAAAAATCAATCTTTGCTGGTCGGGTGGGATACCTTCTTTGTCCTGGATCTTTGTTTTGACGTTCTCGATGGAGTCGCTTGGTTCTACTTCGAGGGTGATTGTCTTGCCTGTGAGAGTCTTGACGAAAATCTGCATTCCTCCTCTCAAACGCAACACCAAATGAAGGGTTGATTCTTTCTGGATGTTGTAGTCGCTCAGGGTACGGCCATCTTCCAATTGTTTGCCGGCGAAAATCAACCTTTGTTGATCGGGAGGGATACCTTCTTTGTCTTGGATCTTTGTCTTCACATTTTCAATGGAGTCGCTCGGCTCAACTTCAAGCGTGATGGTCTTTCCCGTCAGAGTTTTCACAAAAATCTGCATTCCACCTCTCAGGCGAAGAACCAGATGAAGAGTTGACTCTTTTTGGATGTTGTAATCACTCAGGGTTCGGCCGTCTTCGAGTTGTTTCCCTGCGAAAATAAGACGCTGTTGGTCGGGCGGGATGCCTTCCTTGTCTTGGATCTTTGTCTTCACATTTTCGATACTATCGCTCGGTTCAACTTCGAGAGTGATAGTCTTCCCTGTTAAAGTCTTCACGAAGATCTGCATGATGATTTTCGAGAGGTAACTTCAATTTTTCAAACGTTTAACAAACGTAATCTCCGCGAGCCTGAAAATTCAGAAACGCAATGGCGTCGATGTGTCGGGGCGATTTCTTTATCCTTCAGAGTCGTAATCTGATTGGCTTAAAAACTGCAACGTCATGACATCATGTGATTACTTTTTAATGATGTCATAATTATGCAAATAAGAAGATAGCGATTCATCATTCTTGTATACTAGTCACTTTTGCTTTTTTTTGTTGAGTCCTTCCATTAATTCTTGTCCTTCATAGTTATTTTTGCATGTTCTTAACTAATGCTGGTATTCTTAACGATTAGAACCTATGAATGTCTAGTTACGTTGGTTTAAGTGCCGAAATAAGACCAACTGGTGATGTGCTTTGTCAAGCGTTTTCATTTTTCATGCTGAATATGCATGTGTCAGCGCCCCTTAAGGACTTGCATGAATTTGCATGTAAGCGTGATGGAATCTGCTGACTTTCGCTTTTGTGCTGACTGGTACAATATTTCCAAGGTCGGTCAAGATTAATTCAGAATTAGGAATTCAATACCACATTTACGAACGTAATAAATTGTTTTGAAAAGTGTAAGCATTAGCGAGAGCGGAAGTACGTCGATAGAAAATGATAACGAAATAGCTCGATCAGTTTTCAATTGCCAGTCACGATACTGTTCATGCGATTTTCACGGGTATTGTATTCACGTGAATTTTAACGTCAGTGCCAACTGAAATTCGGGCTGATCTAACAAATCCTATAGATATCGAACACTCCGGAAAATTCTGAAAAATTCTGGGAAACGATGAGGCATATCAAATTTACTTTTATCCGTGCCGAGTTATTAATTCGAGTCAGCATTTTTCACAATCCTCAGATCAGAGTAGCGTGAAATGGAAAATTCTTATAAGCGGTACAAAGAAAGAAAACCAACGGAAACCTATTTTACTTTTTTGTTTCCAATCTATATCAGGCCTATGAACAACGCGTAAATTATGCTAAAGTCTTCATGTGGTGTTTCAGGATTTTTTTAAAAAAAGCCACTGAATTTTGCTGTCAGGATGTCAAAGCCTTCTCGGCCTTCCGGCTACATTCTCCCCAAGTTTGAGGCGTTTTACTTCCTCGGGGAGGAAGACTGGAAATGTGTGACAATGACGAAACTTTCGATGTAGCTTTAGGGGGAAAGAATTAGCGATTCGATATACCTAATGAGTTTTAGACTAACTGGCCACCATTCGGAGCTACCGTTTACCTTTTCAATCTCTTTCAATCCAGAAGGAGATATATTTTAGCAGTCTGAGCAGATATTTCTTATTATGATTTTTTATATCTAAGACGTGAAACTAAGTTTGCTCATCGATGAGGCAAGACATTATATTTTCTAGTGGCCTACTCAAGCCCTAAATTTTCTCAGGTAGCAAAAATATCGCTAAACACGAAATTTGACGCTTGTGACGCAGTAAACGGTAACAACTGGGGATTATATTTTTAACCCTCTCTTAAGAACGTCCCTTGCATAAACTTCCTTTCTCTTCAAATGAAAGGCTAATTTGGTAGAATGAACATATTTTCCTCACGACCAGGATACAGCTTCTGCCGACGGTCGATGTCACAGTGTTTTCAATATCCCCGTGTTTTGGACCTGTTTTTGGTATCATCATCGACACATAGGAGACTGAGACTAGCATTTCATGCCCATGAAGGCTTGTGGGAGAATAAATATGGCGGCAACAGTGGCTGGACTACCTCAAGCACAAAATCAGGCTAAGCAACAAGCCGGTGTTGCATCAGATAGATCATTGCGTTCAGTTTTTGGTGCGTTTTATTCCCGATATTTTATTTTTATTTGATGACAGTACCGTTCGTTGGGCCATTAATGAGTATTTACCATATGATTAAGTGGGTTTACACCGTAGCTATAGATTGCTTACTAGGAGAAATGTTGGCGATTCGGCCAGATCTGTTGGTCTTTGAATATTCTTTATTCGAAATGCTGAAATATTTGCTCAAAATTTATTGAAGGTTTGATTATTTTTGTTTCTTTTAATCTAAAGGATAAGTAGTTTACTAGAACCAATGATCGGAGAAATTAGGTTTTAAAATCTCCTTCACAACTATTTCCACCACATGCTTGGTCTTACTAACTGTTTTATTCTACTTGTGCTTGTCGCCTCCCGGTTAGGTCAATGGATATAGCGCTGGACTGTTGTGCGGGAGGTCGAGGGTTCGAGCCCCGGCCGGACCAACACTCAAGGTCTTAAAATAATTGAGAAGAATTTGCTACCTTTCTATAACATCAAGAAATGGTTAGATATTCTAGTCTTCTCGGATAGGGACAAATAAATGGAGGTCCCGTCTCCTGCAGGGTTAGGGGTAGGAGACGTTAATTTCCCACGCATGAGATTACTGTGTGATGGATGTCCTCCCCTGGGGTGGGATGGTTGGGTTTACTGGCCTCGCGGTAATTGGCGCAAGCTGTCGCGGTGTCCCTGCCTGTCGGCGAAGTTAAATAAATAATTCACTGAAACAGAGGCCTCATAGGACTAATAATATATGGGCCCATACAATTTTAATATTTAAGCTATGTGTTTTTATCTTTTTAGTTGGGAATATTCCTTATGAAGCATCTGAGGAGCAACTCAAAGAGATCTTCTCTGAAGTTGGACCAGTTGTTAGCTTTAGGTCAGCTGAGAAATAAAATTGAACAAGTATATTTTGCACTGAAGAGTTAAAATTGATTTTCTTATTACTTGGAAAAGTTACTTTTGAGGCTGAGAGTGTTTAGGATAAGGAAAATACTCAGACAAGTGCCAGAAATAGGAAAAATCTTAATCATTGATGAGAGTTAAGGCTAATTGCTGTTGTGATAACGGCCACTTTGCCAACATGTCAACTCGCTGAAAACCAACCTTTTGACAAAACTGGTTTACTTCTTAATGTCAACTTGCCAGAAACTTTGGCTAACTCACAAAAACTAATTTTTTTTACTCCATTTGTTACAAGGGGTAACTGATGGGAAATTGATCTAAGGTGTCAGTGAGTTGACCAATGGTGTCGGCAAGTTGACCTGTCAGCAAAGTGATAGAGTACCCCTTTTACAAGGATATTGAGTAAAAAACTTTTGGGTAAATTTTATAATTTATACATTGCATTCAATGCCTTGAAGTGAAAACTTGTGAGGCATAACATGTGTTGATATTTTTCTACTTCACTCTACAGCAATACGTAATTATTTGGAGTAAATATTTTTTATTTTAATGTTTGCATTAGATTGGTGTTTGATCGTGAAACAGGAAAGCCTAAAGGATATGGGTTCTGTGAGTATAAGGACCAAGAAACTGCCTTGAGTGCTATAAGAAATCTAAATGGGTATGAACTGAATGGAAGAGCATTGCGCGTTGACAGTGCTGCTTCAGAAAAGAACAGGGAGGAAATGAAAGGTTAGCTAGTTTTGGTGTATTTGACTCACATTTTTGTTTGATTTTTAGCTATACTTGTCCTCATGGTAGTATTGTTTTGTCAGAGAAATATTTTTGTCTCTGAGTTATTGTCTTTTTACTCTGTCCTCATTTGTATTCCATGGGAGACACAGATGCTTATTGATTACCACGCTCAGAGGTGAGATTTGCAGGTTCGAAACCTCATCAAATTGTTATATTGCATTCATAGGGGAGATGCTTAACTCTCAGTGTCTCTCTCCACCTAGGAGTGTAACTAGGTACCTCAAACTGTGAGGAAAATGTGACATAAAGCAGAGGGGAGAGGGGGTAACTTGCATTGCATTCAAGAGGACGAGCAATACTCCTGCTCAGATCCAGTTCAGAGGCTGTAAGAAGCTGTGGTACCTAATGCACCACTTAGCTTAGGTAAAGTCAGCCAATCTCTACCTTACAACTTTATACCTTGCCACCAGGTATAGAAGGAAGCAGTCGTCCAGAAGCAAATCCTTATGGACCACCAGTTGCTCCTGAAGAAGCACCTGAAGCCATTACACAAGCTGTGGCAAGTTTACCTCCGGAGCAGATGTTTGAACTTATGAAGCAGATGAAGGTAAATCACTTGTGGTAGTAGTAGCAATAAAGATCTTTTTATACAAAACTTTTTCAGCTCTTGAAATCAGTGGAATTAAGTACATTTTAAGGACATTCCTTGTTGAAAACCTTAGTAATTATAGTCTTAACCTTTACCTGTAAACGTTTAGACTTCTAACTTTCCTGTAACATTATGTAATAAAGGTGTTGCTTGCATTGTGCTTTCAAGTCTTTCCATTGATTATGCTGTTATCATATGGACCTAGCTGAAAAAATTTTTGGGTAGTTGTCTCTAACCAGGATAGTAATTTGAAAAGTTAGTGTTAAGCCTTGGTTAGGTTAAGAGGATAGGTTGAGTTTTTGTAAACTAAATAAATTCAAAACCAATCCAACTCCTGATAACTTTCAACACTCATTTTAAAACCTTTTCTAAAAATTAAATATGAATGAGAGGAAACTGCTGAGAAATTCTCAGTTCAAGGTTTATTTTGGTGTGTATTTCAACATGGCAACAAAATGCTTCCTTTTCAGTAGTATCAGTTTACTGTAGTGGTTATTGCTAACTAACTTTACGTTTTGTACTGCTGTCAGATTTGTATCCAAAACAACCCCGAGGAAGCCCGACAGATGTTACTTCAAAACCCACAGCTTGCCTATGCCTTATTGCAGGCTCAGGTTGTCATGAAAATTGTGGATCCTGTTATTGCACAGGTTGGTGTCAATGAGCAAATTTTATATTACAACTACGGGGGTGTAATTGCACTATCTTTGTTCTAGTAAAAAAGCAAATGGTAAGAATGAAAGAGGAAAAAAGCCAAAGAGAAATTGTGTTTGAAAATGTAGATTTTAAGTTTATCATCATCAAAATGGTACATACATGTATTTGAAGACTTATCCAACAAAAAAACTTGGAAAGGAGGTTTGCTTAAAAAAATCTAATTAAGGCAGTTCAAGTCAGTTTTCTAAGTATGCATTTCAGAACTGTCAGTATCCTATCCTAAGAAGATACTGGTAAATCATACACTTAATTATTTATCTTTGCCTTTTTAGTTATTTTCATTTTTGATTTTGCATTTGTCTATGACAGTGTTGTGGCAAGCAGGTGTTTGTGACTTTGTAAAAAGGTGGAATTCCTATCAGGTTGCATGCTTCTAAACTATATTGCACACTAGCACTGGTATTTATTGCTCTGTAGAGCATTACAGGCACTTACAAGATTACGCACTTGCAAGTCAAAGGATCTTTGAGCTGCTACACTTCAAATTTCAGTCATCAGCTTAATTTCTTGGCTACAACCCTGTATACATTATGAGTTCCCTACTTTTCTGATTAAGGTTATAAGGCAGGGTTCTCAACAGAATTTTGTGCAGCCGTTGCTGTGCCACCTCCATGCGTAACAGCTAAGCACATAGCCGAAGGCCACGCATTATTGTTGGAGTTGTTTATCATTCTCCGAGCGCCGCGGATCCGCCTATGCTGGATTATTTGTATAACTGTTTATCTTTGGTTGAGGCTCGCTTTCCTGGCTGCGGGATAATTTTACTTGGTGACTTCAATAAAACTCTGTTAAAGAAATCTTCGCGCCTTAGTAACGGCTTTAATTTGAAGCAAATCGTTACCTTTCCAACTCGCGGCAGAAATACCTTAGATCCGGTGTTAACAAATGTGAAGGAGTTCTATGCCCCTCCGATCCAGCGCCCTGCTCTCGGTTTGTCCGATCATTTTTCTGTAGAAGTTCAGCCGCTCGTGCGTTCCCAACAACTAAGAACTAAACTTATCGTGAAATCGAGGGACTTACGGCCTACAACGCGTATGGCTATGCGCACGTATCTTGGAAATGTGGACGTTAAGACACTTATCGATAGTAAAGATTCTTGCAAGGGCAAAGTGGAAATGCTGGAGACCATAGTTAAGACCGGAATGGACATTCTCCTCCCCCTGAAGTCTAAGTCGGTACAAACCAACGAGCCGCCCTGGGTCAATCAACAATTGAAGGGTCTCATTCACAGCCGCCAAAAGGCCCTCGCTCAAGGCGACCAGGAGCAGTACCGCACCCTACGAAACCGCGTTAATCGTGAGAGGAAAGCATGCCGTGCAAAGTTCTATAACTCCAAGGTTGAACATCTGAAGGACTGTAAACCCGCAGTTTGGTGGCGTGAGGTAAAGAAGCTCAGTGGTATGTCAGACGCAGCTTCTAGAGGCGTTAATCCAGCTACCCTCTACCAACATATTGATTGTGGTCAGAGAGGTTCGCCTCCAAGCACGATAGACATTGCTAACACCATCAACCAGGCGTTCTTGGCTCCTATGCGCGTCTTCACCCCCCTTTCACCTAACACCTCAACCAACTCTGACCAGGAGAGTGCTTTCCAGGTATCAGAATTCTCTGTTTTAAAGAAGCTATCCGCCTTAAATCCAACTAAGGCAACCGGTCCGGACGGAATCCCCGGTTGGCTTCTTAAAGAGAATGCAGATTTACTAGCACTACCTGTGACTGATATCCTTAACTGTTCGTTTAAGGAAGCACGGTTGCCTCAGTCTTGGAAGGACGCTAACATCACTCCAGTACCAAAGCAGAATCCAATACACGATGTAAACAAACATCTACGTCCAATATCCCTAACTCCCGTGCTTTCTAAGGTTGCTGAAGATTTCGTCGTGGAGAGTTTCCTCAAGCCTGTTGTGTTGGCGAAAGTGGATGTACGGCAGTTTGGGACTGTGCCAGGTTCCAGTACGACACAAGCACTAATAAGCATGGTCCACTCATGGCTTAGTGCTACGGATGGGAACGGTGNTTATTAGTGCTTGTGTCGTACTGGAACCTGGCACAGTCCCAAACTGCCGTACATCCACTTTCGCCAACACAACAGGCTTGAGGAAACTCTCCACGACGAAATCTTCAGCAACCTTAGAAAGCACGGGAGTTAGGGATATTGGACGTAGATGTTTGTTTACATCGTGTATTGGATTCTGCTTTGGTACTGGAGTGATGTTAGCGTCCTTCCAAGACTGAGGCAACCGTGCTTCCTTAAACGAACAGTTAAGGATATCAGTCACAGGTAGTGCTAGTAAATCTGCATTCTCTTTAAGAAGCCAACCGGGGATTCCGTCCGGACCGGTTGCCTTAGTTGGATTTAAGGCGGATAGCTTCTTTAAAACAGAGAATTCTGATACCTGGAAAGCACTCTCCTGGTCAGAGTTGGTTGAGGTGTTAGGTGAAAGGGGGGTGAAGACGCGCATAGGAGCCAAGAACGCCTGGTTGATGGTGTTAGCAATGTCTATCGTGCTTGGAGGCGAACCTCTCTGACCACAATCAATATGTTGGTAGAGGGTAGCTGGATTAACGCCTCTAGAAGCTGCGTCTGACATACCACTGAGCTTCTTTACCTCACGCCACCAAACTGCGGGTTTACAGTCCTTCAGATGTTCAACCTTGGAGTTATAGAACTTTGCACGGCATGCTTTCCTCTCACGATTAACGCGGTTTCGTAGGGTGCGGTACTGCTCCTGGTCGCCTTGAGCGAGGGCCTTTTGGCGGCTGTGAATGAGACCCTTCAATTGTTGATTGACCCAGGGCGGCTCGTTGGTTTGTACCGACTTAGACTTCAGGGGGAGGAGAATGTCCATTCCGGTCTTAACTATGGTCTCCAGCATTTCCACTTTGCCCTTGCAAGAATCTTTACTATCGATAAGTGTCTTAACGTCCACATTTCCAAGATACGTGCGCATAGCCATACGCGTTGTAGGCCGTAAGTCCCTCGATTTCACGATAAGTTTAGTTCTTAGTTGTTGGGAACGCACGAGCGGCTGAACTTCTACAGAAAAATGATCGGACAAACCGAGAGCAGGGCGCTGGATCGGAGGGGCATAGAACTCCTTCACATTTGTTAACACCGGATCTAAGGTATTTCTGCCGCGAGTTGGAAAGGTAACGATTTGCTTCAAATTAAAGCATGCCCTGTTTATCATCATAGCCTCCCGCAATACCTTTCAGTAGATCTTGAGAGATGTCAAAGGCGAGCTTTACGTATTATCTATCCAGATTGTTCGTACAATGAGGCGCTTCTTTTGACTGGTCTAGTTCCCTTACACAACCGCCGCGAGTTCTTATGTGATAAGCTTTTTAATTCCATCCTGTCTAATCCCTCGCACAAGCTCTATAGCTTACTACCTCCCAAGAATGAGTGCGAAGTCAATTTAAGGAGTCAGCACTCTTTTACTACACGGCGCCTCCACACCATTCGTACTCGAAATAGTTTTATCCATCACTATGTCCATAAAGCAATGATGTAATATTGTTTTTCTCTTAATTATATATTTTTGTCTTTTTAATTAGTTCTTCTTAGCCATGTATTTTTTGTAGTATATATTTTATTGTAAATCAAACGTAATTCAGCCTGTGGCTGCAAGGTTTTTGATAATAAACTATCTATCTATATCTAATCTATCTAGGCCTATAGGGTCCCAATTTAAATCGCAGCAGTCATGTTTTTGGAAGACAACATCTTGGAGAGGCCTGGGCTAGGGTGCCCATATTTCAACGATGTGGAGAAGTTGCGGAGCATAGTGATTGTTCACTGACAGGCTATTCGTTTCCAAAACTAAAACTAACATTCAATACTAAACTTAATTATCTCTGCACAAAGGCATTCTTTTATTTGCGTTTAATAGGCTTTGATCTACTACGAAGAAGGGCTAATGCTTGAAACGTCAGCTTTTGTAATTATTACGGTGGCCAATTTACCATTTCAACTTTGTTGATATATCCCAATTATTTCGTTACTCCCACCGACGCAGCCCCAAACAGTTTCTTTGGAAACTATCAGCCTTTATTCATTTGATCTACTACTCAAAGCGCTTTGACAGCCGTAACACTTACCAGTGACACCTGTGACAGATGTCAGGGGTTACGGGTTCAATTGAAAACTGTGTAAGGAATGTTTTTAATGAATAAGATTCCTCCATGTTTCAGGGCATCTTGCACAGACCTGCGGATCCGGTAGCACCTTTACAACCAACAGGTGTGCAACAGCCTCAGCCACTAATGCGTGCAGGACCTTTAGGGGAAAGAAAAGGTCCAAATAATCAGGGCCCTCCTGGACCCTTCCAATCAGCACCTGGATCAGCATCTGAAATAAGAGGTCCTCTAGACATGAGAGGTCCTCCAGACATGAGGGGTCCACCTGAAGGGAGAGGCCCAGGAGACATGAGAGGCCCTCTGGATATGAGAGGTCCACCAGATATGAGAGGCCCTCAAGATATGAGGGGGCAATCAGACATGAGGGGCCCACAAGATGGTAGAGGTCCACCAGACATGAGAGGACCAGGTATGCAAAGAAAGTTCACCAACACGTTGTTTAAACAGATGTAGCTTTTGATGTTTTCCCAAGCTTCACTGACATGCAAAAGAGTCCTGATATCTATATCTTTATTTCTGTAGGACCTGACGGGCGGGGTCCACCAGATATGAGAGGAATGCACCCAGACATGCGAGGCCCTCCGGACATGAGAGGACCTCCAAACAGAGGGCCAGGAGACATGAGAGGTCCTATGGATAGAGGCCCAGGAGATATGAGAGGTCCACCTGATAGAGGTCCTGGAGATATGAGGGGTCCACCTGATAGAGGCTCAGGAGATATGAGAGGTCCACCTGACAGAGGTCCTGGTGAAATAAGGAGCCTTCTTGGAGACATGCGTGGACCTGGCCCAGATCCAAGGGACTACAGGGGCCCTCATTCAGACATGAGAGGACCTGAAGGCAGAGGTATATGATTGCAATAACCCACAGACAAATATTTTTGTGTGTGATCCTAGGAGATATGTCTAATCATTTAACAGTTCAGCTTGACTGGAAAATGCAACTCATATTGATCACTAAACAAAAAGATAAGATGATTTATTTAAAAATACTTTAACTTAGGTGCCTTTTCTTTAGCCTGTAATCATGTTTTCTCTTGATATTTGAGATGCTCTAAATGCACTAAATGAACAAATATATAAAACAAATTATTTACCCATTACTTGTTGAGATACTGTTTGATAATGCCTTTGGATCAAGTGGATGATGTTGCCCTTGAAGCTCTCTGTGCCACCAGCCTCTTTCTTTCAACTTTCTTTGAGCTGCAGGAATTCTTCAATACAAAAACCATCTGAAGAGATCTTATCACAAGAGTATTCTTATGATTCATGGTTCACCTAAAGCCTTAAGTGGCGCAAAAATATTTCGGTCTCATTAAACCTTATTTTTTTATATCTCAATCTTAATCATCTTAACATCAATGAATTTTGAGAGTTACTATTTTGATGTGAGCTTTTTTTTTTTTTTTTCAGGTCCTGACTATAGAGGTCCTCCTCAAGATCAATTCGGAGACCCAAGAGATCGACGTATGCCCTTTGATCCCAGAGACCCACGAAACAGAGAGCCATCAAGAGGTATAACTAAACATTTAGTTAGTTATTCAATATTTTTGTTGTATTAATTTGTTTGCCCTCTACAAAGGAATTATATTTAGGGTTAAATGAGCTGGAACTTTTGTACAGAGCTGCTTAGTCAGCTATCAAGAATGCAGGCATTACTATATCCAAATTTAATGTCTATAAGGCACATATAGCCCATTACAGAAGCGTGAGAGGACTGGGATGAGTTTCTTATAATGATTCCATTAAAAATCTAAACATTTCAACTGAAATGTTACTGAATGAAAAGCTACCCAGCCAAGTTTGAGAGTTTGCAGTGGAAAAGTGTCCAAATTGGAGCCTTGCAAAAGTTGCAAAAATTCCATACAAACCCTTAAAATTTTTTGCCCTGTCTACCCAATCCATACAAACTTTCTATTTTAGGTGATATTTGAAAAGCTGTCATTTTGCCATTTTCCTCTTCTAAATACTTCTATTCTTGCTTAAGACTCTCAAATTTAGTTGATCTTTCATTTGAATATCATAGTTTTTCAGACAAACGGAAAACAACCACACACTTTCTCAGTCCTCTCACGTTTCTGCAATGGCCTATGGATAAATCAAGTTTCAGTAGTAATTCTTCTCCACCAATACAAGTGAAAACAACAGATGCAATTCATAAAATTGTTTAAGACCATTCAAACAATTTTTATCCTCTCCTGAAGTGAGTCATTGTGTCATTAGATTATGTTATTTTTTAAATTAGTCTGGTACATCTTAATTTAGCTACTGTCTAAATCTCTGTTGTAGATGACAGAAGAGCTCCCTCAATGGACCCCAGAGATCAGCCCCGGGACCCAAGAGGTCCACCTCCTGAACAAAGATATGGACCACCTAGTGGGCCAAGGGACCCACGTGGTGAACGTGGGCCCCCAGGTCCCCCAAATGATGGACGTTTTTCAGGACCTGTCCATTCACCACAGCAACAATGGGGCCCTAACCAAGGAGGACCACCTCCCAGAGGTCCTCAAGGTCAGAACGATGTGCTTAAATATTTACATTTCACATGTATATTTAACTTGTTAACTCTGTGTGTTTAGAAATGATTGAACTGTCTTGGTTTACTCCAATACAACAATACTGAATTGAAAAGTCAAAACTTTCCTCCTCTAAATTTCTTTATGCTTATGTAGTGTATATTAAGATTTTTACAAGTTGTTGTAATTTAAACGAACTTACTGCTGTTAGATGTGGAAGGTTAAATTAATTGATTAAAATGATAGATTCATAATTGTAGAGAGATGCTCTTTGAAAATTCCAGTGAGTCAGAAATGTAACCTCACAAATTCAAATATTTCCTTGAAGTTCCCTAACATAAACATTGGTTTGTTATTAAAGCAAAATAGAACTGTTTCGCGTTTTCCCCGACACGATAATCGATTTAAATGATGGCTTCATATTTTGAGAAGAGACACTATTTGAAAATTCTAGTGAGTTAGGGATGTAGCCTCAGAAATTTGAATATTCCCTTGCATTTCCCCCTCACATAAACATTGGTTTGCAATTAAAGCAAAATAGAACTGTTTCGCCTTTTCCCCGACACGACCTTTTTAACATGCAGTACATTTGAACAGGTTTTAATCCTGGACAGGCGGGGCCTGTTTCGCAAGGCGGTGAGGTCACAACCCAGGATCAAGAGAAGGTAACCAAAGAGATTTCACAGTGTTGTTTTGACATCGTTGGTTTGATAGCTTGCAGGTTATGCGAGGTGTTGACTTCATTGTTCATTCCCTTTGCAGGCGGCCCTTATCATGCAAGTGTTGAGCCTCACTGACCAGCAGATTGCTTTGTTGCCTGAAGATCAACGACAGAGTATTATGGTTTTGAAGGAACAGATAGCTCACAGCACACAGCCTCATTAATTTATGTGGCAATGTCCCTTTGATTTGCTTTTCTTTTCTTGAAATTCATTAAATCTCTCAGTAACATTTTTACGTGAAAGTAAGAACTGTGTCCAGATAGGAGGTTTCTTGGTCAAGAGCCTGTTTAAATGAAGGTGGGGAACCCCAGGTAGGTGAGGTAACCGCCAAGCCGTGTCGAAGAATAGCCTACGTTTACACGCAATTTTACAACCCCAGGATACCCGAGTGAGGTTTTTGGCACGCTTACAAAAAGAGCATGAACGCGACCCCGGTTGACAAGGTTACCCCACCCGGCAGATCGAGCAACCTGCCTATAGGCGGGTTGTCCCACCTATCATGTAAACGTGATCAAGATAAATTGAGAGATTATATGTTACCTCACCTACCTGGGGAGGGGGGTCCCCCAACTCTATGTAAACAGGGTCCTAAACCTCTACTTGTGAAGTGTCACTGAACTGACATTTGTTTTTGGCTTCGCATTCTCTAATCTAACAGTGGGACGAAAGGGAACGGTCAGGAAACTTAAACGAACCTGAGTGTGTCTTAGTACTCTCTGTATTCAGTAGTTTTTTAACCGTTCTCGCAATTTAGAAGAGAACTATCAAGTATTTTTGATAGCAGTTGTAAATCCCCGACGTTTCGAGACTTTTTTCAGGTGAAAGCAACTCGGGTAACAAATTCTGAACCAACCTCTAGAATAGTTTTGGCCTGTATCTGTCGATTTAGCCATGATGGAGGGTTCGAAAGTTTGCCTGAAATACGGACCTAAGTATTTTATTGGTGTTGGCAGTAATACAAAGACAATATATATGTATCAGCCTACTTGATTGATCCATTTTCTCATGAGAGAGCTTTTGAGTCAAAGTATCACTTTAACTGTTCGAGAGAGATCTGTGAAGAGGTTACGGCATAATATTTTGACTTGTTTCTGCGACGATACGAAACGTCAACGTAAAGGTACCCGGCAAGACTGAGGAAGTGAGCGAGATTTTCGTCTTTCTTTTCCTCTATTTTTTCATCTTACAGTCACCCCGCGAAAGAGAGGGACCACACCGCCAGCTATGCAAAGTGTACTGATTTAATTTTTAGCCCAGCCCATGAAACGGTAATCATTACAGAGAATCACTATTTGGCGCAAGTATCTGTTTCTATTTAAAGCACAGTCGTCCTTCCTGTGCGAAATACACTCTTTCGTCGATTTCGACTTGTGTGAATCTGACAGCGTGTTCAGTTTCGTTTTTTTGTCCCATATGAGATTTAAATCCTGCGAAGGACTTACAGAAAATACCACAGATTGTTCTAGTGGGAGGGTTACGGGTTAGTGGAGCTGGCACATTGGCCGATGCTTCAAGTTGTTGTTTCTCTTACTTCATCCTGTATCGTGTCGCAAGTTCGTTACAGATAATACAATTATTCAGTAATCTTGGCAAGGCAAGTATTGGATGGAAGTGTTTATGAGCGATGTGGATGTACTCAGAATACTTTTATAGGAAAGTTCCTCTTGCGTCATGTGAACTCTGTAAGAGAGTGTACACTGAAATGGAATTCACTATTTTAAAACGCATGCTCTGTGCAACAAACGACTTCAGTCTCACTACTATCCAGTAGAATGCGATGATTATCTGTAACTTTTACTTTTTTTTTTATGTGGGCTGGCAAGTTATGGGCCAAGGAAAGATCTGTCTTCAGTGCGTGTGCTATCTATATTTCCGCCCACGCTTTCTTTCAGTTGCCAGAAAAAAAAATGTCAAAACAAATAAGGCCTTAAAAGCCTTTTTAACAACAAAGACATGAACACCCACAGATCCAAAGTTGTTTACAAAGGAGATTGTTCTTGTGGCGTTGATTACATTGGCGAAACTTTGAGATATCTAGCAGTACGTATTGCGGTGCATTCAAACCCTACTCACACCTCTGAACCTGCAAAACACTTGCGGGAAAATCCATCACATTCTTTCACTTAGCGTGTTCTCTCCTCAGCAGAAACATTCCACAAGCGCAGGATCGTCAAGGGGCTAATGATCCAACAATTCCTTGAACAAATAAGTCATTTCTTATGTCTCCAAACTTTTCCCATCGGGAATCACACATGATATATAAGCATGGACAGACGGTCAACACTTTCAACCCTGATGATGCCAAACAGCCGAAAACGTTTGGTTTTAACACTTTAATAAATTTTCTTAATCTTTTTAGCCTTGTATATTCAATAAATAAGGCCTGTTTTGCATGTTACTTCAGAATATCTTCCCGCCGATTCCCGGTGACCTACTCAACGAATATATAACCCTATGGATCTATGGAAGAGGAACCACCCCTCCCGTTTTCCCAATGCCCGTTATGCCCGTGACGCGTCACATGAAATGCTTGTGATACATTCGTGTCCATTCTTCCCCTAACGTTGGAAGGTTGTCGCCTGACAAGTTGTGATTTCTGTAGGGAAAATGGGGTTCCTTGTAGTGTCTCTTTGGTATATGTTTGTTCCAGTTTGGCTGTCGCTTCTCCTCCCCTCGACACAAGAAGGTCAAGCAGAGGAAGGCTGCCATGAGTATTTGACGAACTTTGCAGGCGTAGCGGCGAACTTCACCTCGTGTGCTATACAGCATTCTCGTCCTTTCCAGTTTTGCTGCAAGTGTCAGAAGGCCTATGTCTCAGCAGTTAACAAGTACAGGGCTATTGTACGCAACAAACATTGCTACTCTGACCTGGTAATGGCTGAACAGCATCAGATTGTGGAATCTGCCAATGGTTTTGTGGCAAATCTTTGGAAGAGTTCTCACTGTCCAGGTAGGTGAGCAATTAACGTCCGAAAGAGAAAGATGAAATTTGAATCGTAACGGGAGCTATTTGACGACTGGGATAATCATGTAAACAGGCTGATAGCATTTAAGTGGCAGAGGGAGCCGCTCACTAGAATTTATGATTACAATCTGAAACAAAACTCTCTAAGACAAAAGAGGACTTTCAACTTAAAAAAAAAAACAATCTCTGCAAATCTCTTAGTACATGAAAAAATGCTACCCCTCGCATAATCTAATATTGGTGTTACGGCTCAGCATTGGGTGGTCAGGTATGTGCCAGCCCAAGAGGTTTGATTATCGAGCTGCTTTGGATGGGAAACCATCTTGGATTCAGGCCATTATGATCTCAAATCAGACAGGGTTTTATTTTCAAGGAAGACACAAGAAGAGTATTGGAACTTAATTTCTTTGTAACTTGAAGTCACAGGTATGAAACTCTGGAGCAAATAGTATTTCCAGTAGGATATATTTACTACAATAGGCGGGTGTCAATTAGGAACATGCATAACACTAAGATTGGCTTCCAAAAGCTCTGCATTTAAAATTGTGATAGCATTGATCCATCCAACAATAGTTGATGATAAATCAAGTCTGTTTTTAGGCTGTTCAGGGTGATGCAGTTGCCAAAAGGTTTGCAGACCTGGTTGAGAGCTCCAGTCCAGAGACTGTTGTGTTGATTTCGTGGACAGGATACTTTACCCTCAATTTTATCAATACTCTTAGTCACTTCATGCTACGCTGCAAGTGAATGGGTCATTTGACTGAAGTGCAGACTTGACCCATTTTTTATCCTCTTAAGGTGGTACCATAGGCTTGCTCTACCTTTTTCGGATGCATTTGTTTTCTCGCATATATATATCTTATTAACCAAGAGTGAGGGCCGTACTGGGAGAATATCAGCCTGAGGTCATGACAGTATGGACCTTGCTGGGCTCGGTCCGTACAAAAAAGACCAAGGACCGATGTTCTTCCAGTACGGTCTCGAGCAAGCTTGCTTATTAAGAGATTTATTATACGACTGAAGTTCAAAGGGACACAAGTGCTGTATCATTCGGGACCATTCGGGACAGTGTCCGGTCCAATACTTAGAGAATATTGACCGGCAATAGAGCATTTTGATTGGTTGATTTTAGTTATTGGCCCTTTGACTGCCCGAGTTGTGTAATAATAAAGATTATTGTTTAGGTGGCCTATTTGCAAAATTTTACTATTGGAAAACATTTCATTTTCATAATACATGCGATACAAGTTTTGTTTCAGAGGAGTCTTGTGGCAAAATAGAAATATGATCCTTGTCTAATGGTGTTTGCCCTTCATGCAGTACTACCTTTAGTTGATATTTTTGACACATCCATTTCGTAAGTAACCAATTGATAATGAAATGCAAAGTCCTTTCTTATTGTCGATGCAACTCAAGAAGTAGTTGTACAGTACGTTGACTGCTTATATTTTCCAAGCAAGGAAAACACGAATATGTTTTCATTAGTCTTTTTACTTAAAAAATTTGCGATGGTATTTCTAATTTTCAGGATGTGTCGCAACCAAAAGAGAGTGAATGTAAACCACATACTCAATTTAGTCATGCCACACGAGTATAAATGTTGTGACTTAAATGTCCACATCAGGTCATATTTTTGTGGTTCCCAGTCAAGTGATGTCAATTTCTTTAAGTCAAGAGAAAGCCTGAAACATTCCTTGTGACCTGTACATTTACATTCCTTTTCCGTCTCTTGCTGACACACAACATGGGTATAAAATTTGTCTCACCATTGTAGGATAGGTGTTGTTGCTAAGGAAGGTGCAAACGTTCATAGTCTCAAGTTCTTTTGAGAGTAATGGCAAGTCGACCATGGCAATCTATATTGTTCTATTTTGTATTTTACCTTTGCGGCCATGTATTACTGGCTTACACAAGATGACAACCAAACAGTGGAAAATAAACATGGGTTCCCTGATGAATTCTGCTCAAGATGTTGCTGTACAGCTATATCTTGTCATGTCACTGCAATAGCATTTGCTCAGGCAAGATTTTTTCTTTTGATTTGAAACTCAGTAAACTAAAACTATATATGAAGAGGAAAATTTACAGGGCAATCTGCCTTGGTCCACCAAAAATGTCCAAATGAGAAGGTGTGGGACTGCAACCTTAATCTTTTTTGCAGTTTTTGAGAGTCAAAATTTAATATTATTTGGTAGACTGTGCTTAAAATCTTTATTACCTTTTTCTTTGTGCATGTGCTTGACAATTTTGAGTAGTTAAATTTGCTAGGATTTAGAGAAGGTTTTCTCCAAAGTGGTCTTCCGCACGCACCGTTTATTTCAGTGACTTATCGCAAATTTGATGACACTAAACAAAATATAAGTTGATCATATATGTATTATGTGTATAATCATATATCACACGTAAGAATTTCAAGTCATTGCAGTAAATCTGGCGGTAAATATTATATTCATGAATTGATACAGAAGTCAATGAATTTAGCCACATTTATCACCTAAAGAATCCTAGTCAACCTTGCCTTTGTTTATATGGGCAACTGCTGGAAAAATTGTTCATTTTAAACTCAGTGCCTGGCAGGAGCCATGCTAGGTGGTCAACACTTTTTACCAAGTGTAAAGAAAGGATTCGTAAAAAGGAGGAGCGTTACACATCCAAAAGCATATCTGATGCACTCCAAACAAAGCATTGATTGCCTAATGGCTATGATGCCTTGTGAAACAAAAAATTTTGGAATTGCTTTATTATGGCTTCAAGTCGTCGTTTCTGTGCTTCATTTGCATTCTTTTGTATTCAGGGCAGAATACACTGAAGGTTACATGGTAAACCATAATTGCTGGAAAAATGTTCAGAGCTGGACAGTAACTTTTCAACTTACTAGCCAAGTGGCTAGTGGCATCTTAGATGTCATGACAATTTCAGTTTGTTTACTAGCCAAACTGGCCAGTGAAAATAAAAAACCACTAGCCAAAACTGAATTTGGACTAGTCTGGGGCCAGTTGGCCACCATTAGTATCGAGCCCTGATGTAGCTGGTAAATTATGATGTTTCATCAAAATTTTGAGTGTAACTCTTACCCAAGTTCAACAAATGCTTCATTGAGACATTAATTTTTTTCTCTAAAAGAATAGATTTCTAGCATTCAAGTTGGTGTGCAGGAGTTGGTGAGTTCTTGTCCACACGAAGGGATCTCATTTTTACAGTTCCCAAATATTTCATTAAAAATTTATCAACTATTTATTCTTCTCAAAATACTTGGCCTTGATAAGACTAAGAAACAAATTCAGTAACTATCTAGTCTTGGTTTTTGTGGTAAAGGGATCTTAGAGACAACATTTCTCTTTTCGCTGTCTTGCCAACAAGTTGCTCCCCAGACTTCGAATTGAACACAGACCTTTCTTATTGGGTAATAATTTGGTTACCAGAAAATGAAGGCAGTCTGAAATTGTGACATTAGCCTTCATGCCACCTCAAGGGGGCATGTGGGGATCTAAAGACAGGGAAGAAACACTTTTCCCTTATTTTTCCGACTCCCTCCAAATTATATATTTTTTTATCATTTTAGATTGCTTCCAGGAAGATGGTGGATCTGTAAAAGAAGAGATTACTGAGTTTTTTGAAAAGTGGGAAGCTGTACAGCACTGTTTCTTAAACAATTCTAGGGTAATACTCCACTCATTTGTGTAGAAACTCTCCACGAAACAGATTTAATCTTGCAGCTTGAAAAATTTTCTTAATCTTTTGGATTAAAGTTTGTATAGATATTTTTTCAATCTATAAAAGAGGGAAAAACAAGTAAATTTGACTTTATTAAGACAATTACTTTGTGTTTTTCTTTTTAAACATGGTTATATCTAATTTATGAATATGTGAGTCTTTTCAGTGTCTGATTGTACTGTTTATGGGGTGAAATTTGGTCTTAAAACTGAGGAAGGGAAGAGGATGTGATTCAAAATCAAATATAACCAGATTTTCCTTAATTGCCAGACGACAGAATCTCTCCATTCCTCTATTTCACAAACTCAGGTTGTGAGTTTTTCCATGAAACTAATTGCGCTTTGTCACTCAAATGTGTCAAATTGGCTTTATTTTGCCGCTTAAATGACAAAATGGAGAGGTTGTGGCTGTAATAACTGGTAATCATAAATAATTATGTTTTTCAAATGGTATGATGCATAATAATTATAATGCAATATTCAGACTATTTTTGTGCCAGATTGTTTTCTTAGACATTTTCATCAGTTGAATCATAGCAACTTGTTCCACCAGTGAAAATTTTTTTGTGCTGGATTGTTTTCTTAATAGACATTTTCATCAGTTGAATCAGGGCAACTTGTTCAACCAATGAAAATTCTCTTAAAATAATAATTTATTCAAGTTAATATCGATTTCTATTTAGATCCACTTAATTCCTGTGCCAACAAATGGTTCATATCACAACATATCAGGACTGCAAAGTGTGTGTGATGACTGTAGAAATTCATACTCTTACCTGGAGGAATCCTACAAGAAAATAGCCAGGTCTGACACTGAAGAATTCAAAGTTTGTGCAGATGTGTCTGCTTCTGTAAGTGTCACTTCCTTACAAATGTGGTTGGCTGTTGAGTGAGTGATGTTTGAAGAGCTGGTATTATTTTGCCTGATTAGTTATATTTTAACCCTTTGGAAATGCGTAATAGTTGTTAAATAAGAGTGCTGAAAATTAACTTCAGAGGTTTTGGTAACATTTCCTATTAATTTTTTGATGCAAGTCTGCTGTTTATTTCAGATGAATTATACACGACACCGCTGGAGCAACACTTTTCACTGTGTCAAAATTCAAAATGATCTGGTCTCTGTGGTGGCCCTTACAGTGTTTTTCTGCTTTCTTCCTGTTATATTTTACTCTGCTGTTAGACTGCAAGGTACCTCAAATGACAGGAAAACAAGTAAGGAAATGTTCACTTTTGACTTTGCTTTATAACCCCTTTAAACCCTTGAACTTCTGGAAGTGATTAACAAGTAACTTCTCCATATAATATCCTTACATCATCCAGCAAACAGGTCATGAGAATACTCAAACTTATCACGTTAAATTTGCTATCTGGATCTAACACCAAATTCTTGAAACTAATTTACAAGGAAACGAGTAGCAACTAGAGGGGAGAATTAACAATTAGATACATACATACATACATACATACATACATACATACATACATACATACATACATACATACATAGGTTAATTGACCACTCCCCATAGGGGCTTTTCAGGGCCAACACCCACCCATCCCACCCAGGGAAGGACATCCACCACACAGTATTCTTGTGTGTGGGAAATTAATGTCTCCTACCCCTAACCCTGCAGGGGATGGGACCTACGGTTTATTCGTCCTTATCTGAGAAGACTAGAATATCTATCCATTTCTTGATATTATAGAAAGTTAGTAAATTCTCCTCACTTATTTTAAGACTATGAGTATTGGTAGTTAAAGGGTTTAAACCCTTAGAAGTGACCAGTGTCTAATTTCTCCTTAAAGTAACACTGCTGAATCATTAAGATTATGAGAATAAAGGAAATGATCACCCGAACCTAATGAGCTTTCATGTGATTGTTAAAAACAAATTCTCCTTATCAATTCCAAAAGAAATATATAAGAAGAGAATGCAGAATATGTATACTGAAGTAAGGGTGGGTAGGGTTAAGCTGTTTTTTTCCCCATGTGACGTTTCCACAATTCAATATCGTGTCCTTTTTGTGTAGGTTGTTTTAATGTTATTAGTTTTTTTCTTTTTTTATCATAAAAAGGTGTTTGTTTCTGTGTTTGTTTTTAAGCTTTTTTTAAAAAAATTTCTTCATATGCTGCAAAGTTTTGTTGTCTGCTTTGGTTTCTCTTTTGCTGCAATTGTCTTTAGTCGAAATGGTATTTCTTCCATGCTATGAAATTGATTTTTGTATTTGCTCAAGAAAAAGTTTTCAGAGAGTTTGTAGATTCTCCTTATTCTGTTATTTATTTGAATATTTAATTTACTGCCTCATGTCCTTATTTAATATTAACTTCGCACTGACCAAGTGTGATGGCTGAACTGGAGAATATTGGCCTGAGGTTGTGGCAGTACGGACCAAGCACAGTCAGGTCTGTGCAAAAAACAACTGAAAGCCAATATTCCTCTGTACAGCTGAAGCAAGTAAGGTTTGTAAGTAGTTTACTGTATGGTAATCACATCAAATTTGTTTATTTTGAATCTACCAGCCTTAACAAACAAAAATATGTGGCTTATGACCATTCTTGTGAAAACAGTCCATATGGCAAAATATCAACCAAATAAGAACAAATCAGAATGCTTGGGCTTGGCTATATTATAAAATTATTTACTTGACATATTTTACCACACTAATGATTTTTGTTTTGTTTTGCAGAAAATATGAGAGCTACTCTGACCTGAAACTCTCATCCAGATGTTGAACAGCTAAAATATTCAGAGTTCAATGTTGACTTGACCAAGTATTGAGATCACTGAGGTTGCTTCACCCTGTACATCCCAATGAGAGGGTTGCTTGTGGGTTAGAGGAAAGAAAAGAGTTTGTGAGCTGCCAGGACATCCAGTCAATTGAATCTTGAACTGAGCTAAATTGATCCTTATGGGTCCAATAATGTGCAAAAAAAGTGTCTTGAGAAAACTCAACTGGAGGATAAACAATGTAAAAAGGAAGGGAAAGACCCCCATTCTAAATGAAGACAACGAAAAACGATTGAAAATCACTAATAAATGAAATAAATAACTTGCATGGTATGTATTCACAAGTGCATGCTACACCTTCAAAACTTGCCAAGATTTCCTCAAGAAATCTGTGAACATCTCTCCTCTGATAGTTCCACTCACACTTAAGAATGTCTCAAAAGAAACTTAGAATCTTCTTGCAAATTTTGTTATTTGGATTACTTTTGAGGTTTATCTTACCAAATCATAAAAAACTGAACAAAACAAATAACAAAATAAAGCTTTTTGGCCAAACCAAGAGGACAATGTGACTAGTAGAGTTTTGCACGAATTTTGGGATTAGAAATGCCAAATCATATCTTTGTAAATTTATTATGTACATCTTTTCAATAGATGGGTGGTCTGTCTAGCATGGGGTCTTGACTCTTTTACGGACTATCCCTATAGCATTTCTTTTTTTTTTTTCCTTTTTCTCTCTCTTTTGTTTACTATGTTGCCATTGAATTATTAAAATAAAAATCTTAATGTAATAGAAAAATCCGAGCCCCAGATGGGACTGGCTCGGATTTAACAACTAATTAATTAACAATTAAAATTGTTTCATCGTTACATGCTCGCTTTGGAGGTTGGTTGGCCGCATCTTGATATGCTTTAATGTGACAGCGTGATGCTGTTAGTGAGTTTCACAGGCGCAGACAAAATAAAAATTAAAATAAAATAAAAAAATAAAATAGCAGCTACCTACTATACTAGTATTGCTACTGGTTTGCATTGTATGGCTATACTAAACTACAAATGTTCTCAAAGGGATCTTCAAAAGGAAAGTTTTTGGTGTGGTTTTCGTTGTGTTTGGTAACTATTAAACCTTAACATTGGAATGTAGTTTCTCTACACTGTTCTTTTCCTGTAGTTTTGACAAGGAGTTGTTGTTTAACAATAAGTATTATTTCCTTCACACTCTTGACTCAGGGGGAGTTGCGCGTCTATTGCCGAGGTTTCCGTGGGTCTAGTGCACCTGCGATTTGATTTTGGTGGCGTTGTCATGCGTTTCGTGGAAGTGGCAGGCGTGAGTACAAGGCTCACCGCCTTCTTTAGCACATGTGCCTCATAGTGCACAGCCTCTCACTCGCAGGCGTGCCACATGCCGACGGCACTAAACCGTGAAATAAGATGCCAGTCACCCTTTGGGGTTAAAGAATTAAAATGATTTATCCGTGGAAAAAATATCATAGGAAATCATATCAATACAAGGCACGTTTGTACTAAAGTGTCTGGAGTGATACTTTGAGCTGTCAGTTGAAAACCTTCCAAAACATCACTAGTGACAAAAAACCTCGAAAGGCACGAGAAGATCACTTCATTTTTGTTTATTACATTCTCAAAAAAAAAAAAAAAAAAAAAAACTTTCTACCGTTATCTTGAATGACCTAGCTGGGCAAGATTTCCGTTTAACCCCATACTTCTTTATTCATACCGTTCTTCGATAAAAAAAAGCAGAGGCGAAACAACAGGTTACTTCGGGATTACGGAAATCTTTTCCCTAGCTGCACTGGAGACCAAATATTTTTTCCTTGAATCGATATCTTTTGCATTTCTTGTTACATGTTAGAGTAACATAAAATTAAGTAACGAAATTAAGCTGGGATATCACATTATTACAAGAACCAATTATTGGCTCTTGGTTTTTCCTTTTTTCTGATAGGCCGTTGGGGTTTTGGTTTTAATACACTCAATCGATAAGCTCTCAATATATATCTTCATTTATCTCCGAAAGCATTACTCTTCGAGAGAGTCCAATTGTGATTGACCATTCATGATGGAGATAATTTGTTAGACAATAAGGTTTTCTGCAGTCGAATCTCAGCAGTATTCGCTTCTCCGTCAGGTGCTCTTGAATTTCAAAAGTGAAATAAAAAATTTAAGATTGCTGGGAATGCCTTGCTTTCTTACGATTGCAGTGAGCATTCCCAAACGAATCTTCCGGTTGTCCATAGATAGAGCAGGTGAAAAGAGCTTCTTTGTTTCGGGATAAAAAAAAAAACCACGTGCTTGAAAACGCGACGTTGACGCCTGTGAAATGTGTCGATTTCCTTCTCTCCAGGCGTGTTCAGAATAATATCTCTATTTTCCTTTTAAATAAACATATAACTTATAAATGGGCAGATGAACTGAGCGCGTTTGTTGAGTGATTTTCTCTTTAGTCGCAAATCATGATTGTCTGGTTTTTTTTTTTACTCAAAATTAACTAATTATAAACAACACAATAGACTGGCTGCTCAAATATTGATCCTGATATTCAATGTTTGAGCTTCCTAAGGCTAAAGGGTTAAAACAATCTATTCAACTCGGGTACAAACCATTTAATTGCTGTTATTGTATTTTGAATGGTTTACTCTAAACAGGCACGTGCCAGCGCCACCCTTTAACACCTTTATTGTACTCCTAATGAACTGGTAATGGCCATCGTTCGATGGCGCGTGTCACACACGAACTGCACGTGTTTTCAATTCAACCTGGGAATACTGGAGAAATGACACGAGTTGCGTTGCCGATCATCCAGCAGATGTTTTCTTGGCTAAAGAATGTTATACCAGACCCAGAGATGCTTTAATGAATAAGAAAAACGTGGTTTTTTTTCCGGTTGATGTTCCGTTCATCACTCTCGCAAATTCGTTTTGTTACAAACAATTCGGCTGGGTGGTATTTTGGCGATGCACTCACTCTCTCTTGCACTCTCCTTTTTAACCTCCAATTTCCCCCTCGAAAAAGTTTTGATCATTTTGTTGAGATTTAAGCATACGAAAATAAAAATTTGCCGATCCCATTAGAAAAATCTACATATGCTGGAGAAAAGTGTTTGTTTTCGCATCCAACAATAAGCGGAAAAGTAGGTATGATCGATAAGGGACGCGCCGGTTACGAATTCAGCTCTTTCTCGGTGCGAACAAATCTGTGTTGAATATCGTACGACAGTGGAACGATAAAGTTTTGCGCGCTACAAACATTTAAGCATTAATGTAATAATTTCTAGAGGAAGAAATACGCCATGATACAGATGAACTCAACTTAAATACCAAAGACAAAGGGAAATATTTTTTTGTTCATTGACATTTTCAATTGTCTTTTCTCTACCTGTAGAGACCTTGAGTCCAAGAAATACAGTCATGAGAGAGTCTAGGAACTGAAATACAAGAAATCATTTTCGGAATTAAAAAATTGCGCAAATTAAACTACATAGTTTGTTTCAACGGCAATATTTAGTTCAATGTTAAACCTGTTCTGTCGGGCTTATCATCTATATTATAAATCTTGGGTTTATTTAAGATATATAACAATTGTGAGTTACAGCTGTATCAGAGTTGATGCTCAAATAAAGAATTTTGATTGCTTCGGTCAGAGATTACGGGCCTGATGCAACGATACGACAATCTCTTGCTCCAGACCTCAGAAGGCCTAGAGGGAAACACATGCAAAAGTTCTTTTTTTTTTTTAAATAAATAAATAAAATTCGAGCCCAAGGAAAGTGTTCTTCCAAAAAATTTACCCCATAATTTTTTAATCTCCAGACGAGATTGGAAAAGAAAAAAAAAGTAGATCAGTGAAAAGGAAAACCAAAGCATCTGGTTAGTTTGAAGAAAGTTGAAAGATAACTCAATGTGGTCTGCCATTTCCAGTACTGAAATAATCATAAAGTATTCCCTACTCAGCGCAAAAAACTTCCTCTAATTCTGCAGTTTCTGTAGTTGAAATTGAAATTGTAACCCATGATTTTCTTGTCAAAAGGGTTTTTTAACCTTTCTTTTTTTTTTTGATAAAAATTTTAGTTTTTGTGTCATCTCTTTTGTTGTTCAGTATTTTTGTGGGGGAAATATCCGGAGGAGGTGCAAATTTCACTGAGAAAAAATTGAATGTCTACGTCAATCTTTTAATAATCTTACATTCAAATGTTCTATTTTTGAAATGTACTGGTCGCAGGAGCACTTCTCAAGGTGCTTGGTTGTTTTAGTGATTTTTTTTTTTTTTTTAAGTAGAATCAACCAAAAACACGAAAGTCAGGTGTTTTAGAGCAATGTTTGCTTTTATTTTGTTTTCTTTTATTTGTTCTGTTCTGATAGCACCTGAGAATATATTTTTTGATTTGCATACAGAGGGAACAAGGTATGACAAAGGGCTAAACATGTTTCTCTCCTTTCAGCTTTGTCTAAACAGAAAATACAATAGATCATTACCCGTCACAAAGCCGGCTATGAATTTAAACGCGTTGCTGTCGGAGCTTTTGCTTTCCATAGAGTCACCCTCGTTTCGTTGCTGCCTCTTTATCTCTATGTTAGACTCTTTCTGGTGGAAGATTCATTGATCAGCGCCAAAATCAACAGGTAGTTCAGTCACAGCGAGCTTGTGAAAAAAATCAAACACGCCTTAGAAACAAGTATGGATTTCCACAGCACAAGACCAATGGGAGAAGTCTTTGTTACACAACAGCAGATCTCACTCTTTAACTCTTCAGCACGTAAAAATTTTATTCCTTCAAGCCAGCGAGGGACCTTGCATTACCTTCCGCAAGCGAGAAAACACACTGAACCCAGTTGGAGATATTACGAAACAAACTTGACGTCCGCGTGTCGCCGAGAGATGGATGCTGTCGACGAAGAAATGATTACACGGCTCTGCTATGCTCTTGAACTTGACAAACTCCTTGTACTGCCTGATCTGGGACTAAGTGCTGAGATCGTGGATAAAATGTGAACGAAAAGGTTATTTCTGGCAGGAACTTCGCCGCAAAGTGATTGAACAATACATTAATTTCAATTTGCGGGCCAAAAAACTTAAGTCGAACACGACTGAAGATGAACGCAGACAGCGCGTTTGATCGTTAAGACTCGGGAGATTTTCTATGGCCACACTGAGCGCCCGAACTAATGAGGAGTATTTTAGCTTCTTTTGCGAACGAGTCACATTTTGTATCTTTTGAAAATATTTACAAAAATGCTCTATTAGAAAATTTTATTTGTACAATAATCATGTAAAGAAACGATATCTAAATCCAGCCGGAAATAGTTGATTTCTCATAAACTTTGTATAAGACAAGGAGTCATCGTTGGGGATTTTTACCCTCTAAAAGCAACGAGCTGTTTGAAATGTTAAAATTGTGCTCTATTCTCCATGTTTTTTTTTCTTTCTTCCTTTCTTTTTTTTTTTTTTTTTTTCATTTTCATTGTGACCGAGTAGAGTATCACGATTTTTCGGAAGTTCTTAGCAGCAAGATCTCCATCTGAATATGATAGAATTCAAAAGTAAAACGATATCAGTAATTAGCTATGTCCGCGCCTTGCATCTCCAATATATGTGAGACTAAAACAGTTTGTCATTTGTATCCGATACCTGCATGTAACTCGAATTTAAGCGCGATATATTAAAAATTTATCCTTAATTGTTGTTTGCACGTGTAGTTCGTCCTGTTAACACGGGGCGTGAAAACGGTGGGTGCGCGTGTCACAAGGCAGGACCATTGATGGCTTTTCTGGCGTGGAGTTTCCTATGATTTCAAGAAGGGTGCTTTAATTTAGTGGAAACCGAAAATAATGGTCTGATTTCAAAAGAGGAAAATTCGACCGAAAGAGGAAATGCACGAAACGCGAACTGCTAATGGCAACTTTACAAAATTAATGGAAATTTAACAAATGTTACTTTTTCCCTCCTTTCTGTTTGACATCGTCAAATTGCTGTCGAAAAGTTTAGGGCCTATCGTCTCTATTGCGACGACTTACAGTTATGCGCGGGTATTTTGTAGCGGGCGGGTGGCTATTTTAAGACTCATTTGTCACTGAGCACGTTCTAGATTTTTAATTCAATTTAAAATTGTAACAACCCGAGAAAAAGGCTCGTTCTTTTCGAGGCAGGCAAAAAAACTAAAAGGTTACAGGTAATTGCTAACCGAGATCTCTCCGAAGAAAAAATCCTGAACTGGAGCAGCGGCGGGAAGAACCGTCTGGGGTCACAGGTAATCCATGTTTACGTCGTGATTGGCGAAGACTGAGATTTTTTTGTACGAGACGCATTCTCGTCAGGGAAGGGACGCATTGCCGTCAGAAAAAAGCGATCTCGTTCCCCAGGAGTAATCTTATTATTTGTCACTGTGCATGACACTTGTTGTGACTGGTCATACCCAGGTTTCAACGCGTTCCGGAAAATATTCATGAATGGACCTAACTTGCTTGACTGGCTGTTTGGTAGACGTTTCGAGTGACGAATCTATGAGAGGAATGTGAAGGTAGACATTGATAATTTTGCTGTTCCTTCACCTTCCATTTCACTACGCGCCCGATAGTCACCTGTTACTCAAACAAACCAGTGACCCTATCCCATCAAGTCTGTAAACTGCCGTACCTTCACAAATTTCAATGGTTCAATTGTTTTATTGATATATATTCCCTTAACATATTGCAGAATTTTTTTGATTAGTTACATCCCCAGGTTCACTAAGGACAGAAACAGGACATGGTCACACAATTACTGAGGGTCCCCTATAATTATTACGCGAGGCGTGATTAAGCAATTTTTTCTCTCGTGAATTGTGATTAAAAATGATAAGATCTTTTCATGTCCACGTGAACTAATTTTTTTTATTTAAACGTGACTCGTGAATGAAGAGCTGAATTAACCGTGGTTCGTGAACCATTTTGATTTCCGCGATGAATTCCCGGCTATTTAATTGTTTTAAAAATGAACGTACTGCTCGCGAACAGCTGTGTTAAGGTTTTGTCCAGGGTTTTGACAGGACTTAGACTTCATATGGATCGAGAAATGTCATAAAACAAACAACTAATGGTCCATGAACAAATAAGATAAGTCATCATATCATATTTTTCACTTAATGACTGGTCAAGACTACAAAAAAGTAAAAATATCGATTCAAGAATGTTCAAATTTTGCGTGAACATGAACGAAATTTGAATATTATTCAAGAAGCGTGAAAAGATCAAATATTTTTACGTGACTGAGTATTTCAAAGGGTATGGGGAACCCTCATTTCTCTGGACGAAAGGTTCGCGCACAGGTCAGTGCTTCGAAAGAAAAAGTTGAAAAGTCGGCATCGTTGGTGTCAATCACTCCAGCAGGCTGTAATGCACCTGTGGTTTCCTTTTGGTTACAAAGCCCTCTGCAGCATGCGCCACACGTAACATGGTATGTTCGTTCCACCACGAACTCATTATCTGCAGGGCAATCGGAAGACCTTGGTCATCGTAACCAACTGGAAGGGTCATACCTGGAACACCGGTAAAATTTCCGATTCCCATATATCTGGAAAAACAAAAAACACCAAAACGAAAAAAAAAATTCTTCAATTTAAACTAGAATCTTGTAATGGGACGTCACGGGACCCCAACCTTACGACTTCCATGTCAATAAGCCAACTTCCCATAATGATAGAGAAAGCGAATGTTTACTTTAACTTGAGAACCTTTTGAAGGAAAAATTGA